GAAATCCTTGATAATGACGAGACAAAAGATGACAAGTAGAAACTATATTTGCATTCTTTCTTCATATCTAATGCTTGGGCAGCTAAAAGAAGTGGGAGAAGTTATTGATCAGTGGAAGCAATCAACCACTACAGATTCTGTTGTTTCTGCCTGTAAGAGGCTTTTGAATGCCTTCACAGACGTTGGATTCACCGAAAAAGCCCACGACTTCAAGATGCTTCTGATTCAGAAGAACTGTGACCCTACAAATTCATTAGAGTAGAACCAAAAATGAGTTTTGTATGAGGTAATGGAACGTGTATAGGCCAATTTTGTGATGTCTGGACCATTTGGAAGAGGAAATAATTAAAAAGTTCATGCAGATTTTCCTTATACCAAATGACTGAATAAAACGCCAGTATGAAACCGTCATTGAGTTGGTACTTGTGCTGCTTGCTTTCCATGTTTAAGTCTTGAAGTATATTGTCTTCATGAAATTTAAAGTTTGTATTTATCTTCCCCATCTTCTGTTTCCTTGGTTCCGATTTCCTGGTACCTCATCTCAAGTCAGGTAAGGTTGCTTTTTAAACTCTTCTGGTTTCCTCATTTTGGTTTTGCACAAAATGTAAGTATGGTACTGTAGTTTATGGCAATTACCTGGCCCACAAAATATCCGGGTGGCTAGAGAACGCATGCTTACAAAAGTAAGTAGCACTTGAACACTTGAAGGTTGAAACCACTCTACGCTCATGTTTCGGCAACGTTGTAACACCATTGTTGAGTATTAGAGTTCAGTGAAATGCATGTGGGTTAGGCCAGTTGGCGTGGATAGTGAGTCCACTTTCTTGCACCTAAGTTCGAGTCCCCCTCCCTGCATATTGGATTAATTTAGAGTAGTTCAATGAATAAATAAATGGGAGTTTCACTAAAACACCCAAAATGGGGGCTGAAATTATAAAAAAACCCAACACCAAAACACTTTATAAACACACTCAAAACCCATCATTACACACACTCAAAACTCATTTATAAACACACCCAAAAAATATACAATTGTTGATTTTGGGTGTGTTTCTATGTTTAAATAGTGTTTAGGTTTTTTTATAAATACATATCTAGGATTGGGTTTGTTTATAAATTTGTATAAATGAATATGAAGCCACGGTGAAGAGTAGGGGTTTTGACCAAATAAACCGATGCAAATTGGCAAACCCACTAAACCAAACTAATCAGTTCGGTCTTATTTTCTAAGATTTCAATTTTGGTTCTTAAACTGAATCAAACCACTCCTACTCAGTCTAGTTTTCGATTCATAGCCTCCAATATTGTTGATTCCAAAACTTAAGTAAATTTAGGTTTTAACCAAAAAAAAAATTTCACTTTTGGAAAAAGCCGAAGCTTTTTAAAAAAAAAACAGAAAAACCTATCAACTTTCAAATCAAAAACATGCAAATGTAAAGGATTCCTTAGGAAATCCAAAAATAAATAAGGGCAATTTTGTCCATTTTGGCTTCTTTTACAAAATTTCTCTCTCCTTTGTGTTTTTCCAAAGTCTCCCTTCAACTTAACCGAACCAACACCACCATAAATGCTTTAAATTCCCAAAATCAGGACCAAGGGGATTCGAACCCTTGACCACTCATATAGAATTGCAACACAGCTCCACTATGGTAAGTCAGTTTCTTGTGCCCTTGTGGGCTTTAGTTGGGCCTGGGCGGCCTTCGTTAGGCGCGAAGTAAAGCTGGTGCAGTCTATTGATCTTTTGGGCCCAACCACTTCATCAAGTGGCCTGACCTTTATTCTTTGGGCTCTTTTGGGATGAGCCCTTTTTGTCTTTGGCACCAACAATTTTTATCTCCAATTTTAGCCTAACATTTAAAGATCATTTGAGTTCTTTCTTATTTGCTGCATCCTTAAAGATTATTTGGACCTTCCCACAAGTAAAAGCACAGATTTGTTTTAGAAGTTCTTCTATTAGAAGAATGTTAATTTTTTTATATATGAAAAATCAAAGTGTTTCATGGAAAAACATTTGGAATCGATTTTGAAGTATCTGAAAAAATCGCTTTTATGACCCATAAGTATTTTAATTTTTATATCAAACATTGTTAGAAACACTTTTAATTATCAGAAAACGATTTTAACCTTCTTAGAAGCAATCATTTTGTGTTGGGCGGTTAGTATCTAATAGAAACAATTTGGTTGAAAAACAAGTGCCAAAATTAGTTGCATGAGGGTTCACTAAATCTTTCTTGGCAGATCTTTTGTCTAATTTTCAAAACATAAATGTGGTGAAATTGAGACATTTGGGTTTGAGTGCTGATGTTAGGTTGATATCAAAGACCTTTTCCGTAAGACTTGAAAAAGGGCTGGATGAGTTTTCAAAATAACATCGAAAAGCTTTCGTATGTAACTTCATGTTGGGGCTAGTATTTTGCTTTTTATCTTATTATGCGGTGCATACATTGTGTCCTTCTCACAAAAAGCAATTTTTATAGGTTATTATACACGTGAATATAATAACACAATGACATGTGAAAAAATTATCCCATATTTTATTGTGATATTAGCTAGAAGTAGCAAAAAATGTTATTCCCGTTGCTTGAGAGTTTCTTTACTTAGCTGTACTTTCGAGCTCCCCACAACAAAATGGGGGAAGTTTTTGTCGAACTTCAAGGAACCATCTTTTTAGTCAATTCCGAGATTTATTATGGAACTTTTCCAAGAATCGAAGGCTAGACCTGGAGGATGATTGGCCCAACTTTAATTCTCGAGTTGCCAGCTTGAAATATGCATCGTCTAGTTTATAATTTCATTAAAGGTTGCCATATACTTACGCGCATGGCAATTCTATTTTTTAAAATTTAATTTTAGTTACTTGAAAACGAAGCATTGGTGGCTCTTTTTCTCTTCATGGTCTTACTTTCATTGTTCAATGCATCGTATCAAGACAAGTTTGATAGATTCAGTAATAAAAGGAGGAAAGGAAAAAGGACAAAGAAAATAAATATTTCACTGCAACAGAGAAAGGACCATGAACCATCTGACTTATGATACAGTTTGGGACTTGCTTCTGCCAAGCGCTGCCTTGTGTCCGTGACAAATACCAATCGCAGCTAACACGGATTCGATGTTATGATTTTATCATTCAAATGTGCTGCATCTAAAACTCTCACTAATGTGCATTCCATAGACATCAATCATGCGTAGCAAGTTTTAGCATGAGGGAAGACTTCATTACCTGTCAAGAAGAACACATATGATGTCAATGTGGCATATTTATATGGCTTTTTATCACAAATGGTCCTTCACGTTTACGAAATTATCATGAATGGTCTTTGAGGTTTTTTTGTGACACTAGTCCTTAACGTTTGGGCTTTTTTTTAATCATAAATGATCCTGCTATTATAAATTTTGTTAAGTGTGACGTGGAAGATAAGTGGAGTCCTCATGTCCAATCACATTGTGACATGTGAATAAAAAATAATTAAATAAATTTTTAATGAAAATTCTGTAAACGTGAAGGACCATTTATGATAAAAAGCCTATTTATATTTAACTAGCGAATACTGTTGAACATGGAATTCCGTCTCAAAAAAATCTTTAGGTAACATGTTGGTGGCCGAAATTTTTGAATGCGTAAGTTGGTCGCTAAATGCCATTATTCCTCGTTGTAACAAAAGTTTTCAAAACAAAAAGTTTACATATATGTTTGGCGTTGAACATATGTTCCATGTAAATGATGTCTTTTGGGATAAAACGTGCATATTTGGTGCCAATAAAATGTTTCTCACGGAAAACATCTTTGTCTGCCATTTGCTTTCGTCTTCGTAGCTAGAAAATGCCTCCCAAAAGTCTCGAGACAAATTTTTTTTTGGGGTAACGACGTGAACTCTAAAATGACAGAAACTTTCTTTAAAATGAATATTGTAGTTGAGATGTCAAAAGAAACATAATGCAGATACAAAAAAACAATAAAGAATGGTCGAATGAGCTGTTAGAGCACTTCCAGCAGTTGGAATCTTGCCATGGCAAGGGGGGGGCTAGGGCTGACACTATTCACAGAAATAGTGTCTGCCCTTGCAAAAAGTGAATTGCACTTCCAGCAGTTGCCATGGCAAGGGGGGGTACTATTATTTTTTTTTTTTTTTTTTTTTTTTTTTTTTTTTTTTTTTTTTCAAAAAAAATTTTTTTTTGTGTTTTTTTATAAATAAAAAACCAATAAAAAAAACAATTTTAATTTAATCATATTTTTGGGGGGGGGGGGGGGGGGATGAGATTTTAAGATTTTTTTTTTTTTTTTTTTGAAAAAAAATAAAAGGATAATATATATATTTTCATATAGTTTTTTATAAATTTTTTTTTTTAAACCAGATATAAATTTTTTTCAGATAAGTTTTATATATTTAATGCTTTGGTTGTGGTTAGTTTTTTTATGTATGGAATGTTTTGAATAAAAAGGAATTTTATTTAATAGTTTCTTTGATAGAGAAAAATTAAACTTGAAAGTGAAAAAAATTTAGAGTTGAAAGTGAAAAAATTATTGAGTAGAAAGTGAATAATTAAACTTGAAAGTGAAAAAATTATTGAGTAGAAAGTGAATAATTAAACTTGACAGTGAAAAAAAATTAGAGTTGAAAGTGAAAAATTATTGAGTAGAAAGTGAATAATTAAACTTGAAAGTGAAAAAAATTTAGAGTTGAAAGTGAAAAAATTATTGAGTAGAAAGTGAATAATTAAACTTGAAAGTGAAAAAAATTTAGAGTTGAAAGTGAAAAAATTATTGAGTAGAAAGTGAATTTGTTGTTAAAAGTGAAGAGTATAGATTGGTATTTATAGAAAAAAAATTCAGTATTTTTTGGGGTTTTTTTAAAATTTTTTACGATTTTTTTTCATAATTTTTTGCCTTGAAAAATTCCAGGCCGTTGGATTGGATGAAAATTCGAAAATCGGAAGGACCAGATCGCGCCATGTGGCAGCTAAAAGAAAAAAAAATTGCGCCTGCAGACGTCACGCTGACGTCAGCCTGCCTTCGGGCTGCTGCTCGGGCAGCCCTTGCCTTCGGGCCAGCCCAGGCAAGTGGACACCACACTGCCCGGGCCAGCACTTGTTGCTGGAAGCTGCTTTTGGGCTCTCCCCCCCAGCCCGAGTGGGCTGCTGGAAATGCCCTTATGGGTGTAGTATAGCAATATTCTTGTGTCCTTATTATTCCCTATTTCCATATTCTATCTCCGAAAGTATCAAAAACAAATAATTTTCAATTCTACATCGCAACTTATGTGCATTCCCTTCTCAAGAAACGCCAACACAAAGTAGAGAGAGAGAGAGAGAGAGAGAGAGAGAGAGAGAGAGAACTACTACTAAATCACATCAATCCCAAATTCATTAATTCCCAGTTGATCTAATGGCAATGAAAAAAGAAGGCCCAGAACTTGCAGAAAGATCCTCCTCAAACCCTAACAAACCTCACCGCCATACCCTCTCTCCCTTCTCTGTCTGCTCCCCAAAACTCTCCCTCTATATCTTCTCAGCTTGTGCCACCCTCTTCGTCATCCTCCACATCCAAACCCTCCAAACCGACCAAAATCCCACGTCGTCATCATGGTCCCTCAAGCACCAATGGCAACGAGTCACCAACACCACCACCACCACCACCACCACCATCGCCACAATGGCCGAGAAGCTCCGCCAAGCGGTCACATTTCTCCCGCTCAAAGATCTACGCTACACTGGCCCGGCCGCCCTCGAGGGCCACACGTGGTTCATGAGCTCCATGTTCGACACGCAGGACGAGGAGGGCGGGGTCCAGTACCAGCAGTTCCCCTCGCCCTCCTCCCATGGGCGGCTCCTCTGCCTCAAAGGCCGCGACAACCACGATGGGTCCTGGAACTCCTACGCCCTCGCCTTCCCAGAAGCTCTCCCCCACAACACGACGCTCATGAAAGGCTTGACGTTCGTGTCGTACAACCACTACATCTACGACAACATCTGGCACGCCCTGTCCGCTGTCGTGCCCTTCATCTCGTGGCACATAAAGAGTTCGTGTGCGGTCCCTGACCGGTGGGTTTTGTACTACTGGGGGGAGATTAGGGCAAGGATGGGAGTCTGGCTGGGGAGCTTGATGGAGGCTACTTTCAGTGAGGCCCCGCGTGTCGAGGTGTTTGATGACGTGGAGGAAGGGAGGGCCGTTTGTTTTGAGAAGGCTGTGGTGATGAGGCATAACGAGGGTGGGATGTCGAGGGAGAAGAAGTTGGAGGTTTATGATCTGTTGAGGTGCAAAGCGAGATTGTATTGTAATGTGAGCTTGGATGAAGAAAATTACAAGAGTACCCATAGTGTAACAAAGAGAATTGGAGTCACATTGTTTATGAGGACAGGGCCTAGATCGTTCAAAAACGAAACCGCTGTGATTGGGATCTTTGAGAGGGAGTGTGCTAAGGTGGATGGTTGTCGGCTCATGGTGGCTTACTCTAATAACCTCACTTTTTGTGACCAGGTGCGCATTTTTATTCAAATCTTTAATTACTTGACGATGGTTTTAAGTGTTCATCTTTAATCACACTTACGAATTTAATCAGTTTGTAATCAATAGGTCTTCGAATCATTCACTTTAAAAAAAATTGAAACGACCCTTTTTGTTCGTTGATCATGGTCTTTTTTAAAAGTCTGAATATTTCTTAGTTAATGAAGGAACATCAATTTTTTATTTTCAATTAGATCATGATACCAAACGGGTGATAATTGAATCATTTGTACTTTCATGTTGTACATAATTGACTCTTTTTTTGTTTGGATAAGATATTATATGAGTAGTTCATATTTAGTGTTCATGCGTGGGGCAAAGGAATCTTTTGTCTTTTAATTGGGTTGCCGAGTAAGGACCACGTGATTACATTAGAAGAGATGAAAGGCATAATGGACTGATCAGTGTAGGAATTTTATATACTAGTCGAGGTCAACAAAGAGGATTTGCTTTTGAAAGAATTTATATTGGTTTAAGGCCATCGAAGTGGGGAGGCACAGAAGAAGTTTGTGAGTGGAAATCTTGGTAGAGTAGAGATCTAATTGTAGATAGTATGACTAATTGGTAGTAGATAAAGATACTCTTACATAAAAGTACATAGAATTGTTGGGTTTTCATGTGAATAACCTACTTTGATATCATATTAAAATGTACTTTCAACGCAATACCAATTAGCAATGTATAAAGAGACTCAACTCCCAACCTAGATTACCCTCAATATTTTCCATAAAAATGATGCCTTGTAGATTTGAATTATGCTCTTTTTTGCCTGTTTTGTTCCTTTTAAAAGGATTATTCAATTGTTTCTTCCTAATATCTGATTGGTCAATCCATGTGAGGGTAATGAGCTTGACGGACATTTTGGTATCTCCACATGGTGCGCAGTTAACCAACATGTTCTTCATGAACAGAAACAGCAGTGTCATGGAGTTCTTCCCAAAAGGTTGGCTAAAACTAGCCGGGGTAGGCCAATATGTCTTCCATTGGATGGCCGGCTAGTCAGGCATGAGGCACAAAGGAGCATGGCACGATCCAGATGGTGACACGCGTCAGTATGGTGAAGATGATCATCGATTTATGTCCATCTACAAGGATGGGAAAATTGGACACAATGAGACCTACTTTGCAGAGTGGACTAGAAATGTTATTGATGAGGTGAAGACAAGGAAGATAGAAGAAGCGAAAATGGGTACTCTAAGTTCTAATGGTTGTTCCTGTAATTAATTAAAGGCTTATTATCACAAAACGTCCCTAAGATTTATGAAACTATCAAATTGTCTCCTTAATGTTTTTTTGTGTCATTCGTGGTCCTCAAGATTAATATGTGTGATCACAAATGGTCTCTGCCGTTAAGTTCCGTCAAACACTCTGTTAATTTTTTCATTTAAAATTCATAAAAAAAACATTAAGGATGCAATCTGATAGTTTTGTAGACTTTTGAGATGTTTTGCGATATTAAGCCTTAATTAAATTCAACTCAATTCAGTGCAATTCATGATTTTTTGGTGGTGCTTAAGCCTAATCTGGTATACTACTTCTTTAAAGTAGCTTATAGTACATACTATATTGTATACATGGACATCGGTTTTGTTAAAAGCGAAGGAATAACTGAAAGTACTTATGAAGCGCTTACGTAATGCTTTGCTTTTAATATTTTCAGCTTTAGACGTGACAAACATGGCAGAAATTAATGAGTGATGAGTTACTATTACATTTAGTGCGTGTGATCAATCAATTGTTATTATGTTTCTCTACCTTCATACTCATGGAAATTGTATAAATAGGAACACAACAAAAACAAAAAAAGAATGAAAGCAAAGTAATTAGACATAAATGGATACAAGGCTATTTGGCTTCATGTTCTTGTCCCTGCTCTTGCTTTTCTCAAGTTTGCGTAAGTCTCTGTCTTTTATGTTCATATTTTAGATTGTTTAAACAACTATTTTTCACTAAAAATGAACCACAGGCATAAACACGAGCCCAAGTCAAAAGTACAAACCGGACTTATATCAACCTGAACTATTTTATCCCATTGACAGAACTGACAAGTTAAACTAGTTTTTCTTTTTTGGTTGTTAATAAATAAACAAGTTTCTGACCTACTTGCCTGACTTGGGTTGAGTATAAGATGTCGAGTTTTGAATGTCTCAACATTATATTATATTATTATTGCTATACAATAGAAACAAAATGAAAAAGATTTCTAGAGTCTTACTATCTTGCAGTGAAGTTTCAAAAGTTTTCCCACAAGTAAAAGCACAGATTTGTTTTAGAAGTTCTTCTATTAGAATAACGTTAATTTTTTATATATATGAAAAATCAAAGTGTTTCATGGAAAAACATTTGGAATCGATTTTGAAGTACCTGAAAAAATCGCTTTTATGACCCATAAGTATTTTAATTTTTATATCAAACATTGTCAGAAACACTTTTAATTATCAGAAAATGATTTTAACCTTCTTAGAGCATCTCCAAGGGAGATGTCAAATACCAAACATCAAATTTAAATTTAATGGCTGATGTGGCAATTTGACATTTACACAGTTTTTTACTTCACCCGATATGTCAAATAAATAATTATTGTAACAGTCAAATCATTTAAGATAAAGAATTAAAAAAAATAAAAAAGGAAAATAGTAAATGAAAGTTACAACCAGCTGTCTTAAAAAATAATAAAATATTCATTTGACATCTTGCTTTTGGGATGTCAAAAATAACAGCTGAACCTCTAACCTTCATTCCACATCAGCTTTGACAATTCGGTTGGAGTGATGTGAGATGTTATTTCTAACCATTAAATGTCAATGTGACACTTTTAACATATCTGTTGGAGATGCTCTTAGAAGCAATCATTTTGTGTTGGGCGGTTAGTATCCAATAGAAACAATTTGGTTGAAAAACAAGTGCCGAAATTAGTTGCATGAGGGTTCACTAAATCTTTCTTGGCAGATCTTTTTTCTAATTTTCAAAACATAAATGTGGTGAAATTGAGACATTGGGATTTGAGTCCTGATGTTAGGTTGATATCAAAGACCTTTTCCGTAAGACTCGAAAAAGGGCTGGATGAGTTTTCAAAATAACATTGAAAAGCATTCGTATGTAACTTCATGTTTGAGCTAGTATTTTGCTTTTTATCTTATTATGCGGTGCATCCATTGTGTCCTTCTCACAAAAAGCAATTTTTATAGGTTATTATACATTTGAATATAATAACACAACGACATGTGAAAAAAATTATCTCATATTTTATTGTGATATTAGCTAAAAGTAGCAAAAAGTGTTATTCCCGTTGCATGAGAGTTTCTTTACTTAGCTGTACTTTCGAGCTCCCCACAACAAAATGGGGGAAGTTTTTGTCGAACTTCAAGGACCCATCTTTTTAGTCAATTCCGAGATTTATTATGGAACTTTTCCAAGAATCGAAGGCTAGACCTGGAGGATGATTGGCCCAACTTTAATTCTCGAGTTGCCAGCTTGAAATATGCATCGTCTAGTTTATAATTTCATTAAAGGTTGCCATATACTTACGCGCATGGCAATTCTATTTTTTTTAATTTAATTTTAGTTACTTGAAAACGAAGCATTAATGGTGGCTCTTTTTCTCTTCATAGTCTTACTTTTTTTTTGTTAGACCCAAGGGTGTCCACCGCCGACAGTAGTGACTAATCCCTTTCGCTGCGGGAGCTCTCCCAAAGGAGGTAAACAGCTGGCCACGAAATGTGCTCCATTCCCATGGGCGGGGATCGAACTCCCAACCTCATGGTTAAGGGATGAGGTGAGTTCATGGTCTTACTTTCATTGTTCAATGCACAAGACAAATTTGATAGATTCAGTAATGAAAGGAGGAAAGGAAAAAGGACAAAGAAAATAAATATTTCACTACAACAGAGAAAGGACCATGAACCATTTGACTTATGATACAGTTTGGGACTTGCTTCTGCCAAGCGCTGCCTTGTGTCCGTGACAAATACCAACCGCGGCTAACACGAATTCGATGTTATGATTTTATGATTCAAATGTGCTGCATCTAAAACTCTCATGAATATGCATTCCATAGACATCAATCACGCGTAGCAAAATTCAGCATGAAGGAAAACTTCATTCCCTGTCGAGAAGAACACATATGATGTCAATGTTGGTGGCCGAAATTTTCGAATGCGTAAGTTGGTCGCCGAAATTTTCGAATGCGTAAGTTGGTCGCTAAATGCCATTATTCCTCGTTGTAACAAAAAGTTTACATATATGTTTGGCGTTGAACGTATGTTCCTTGTAAATGATGTCTTTTCGGATTAAATGGTGCCAATAAAATGTTTCTCACGGAAAACATCTTTGTCTGCCATTTGCCTTCGTCTTCGTAGCTAGAAAATGCCTCCCAAAAGTCTTTTTTTTTTTTTTTTTTTTTTTTTTTTTTGGTACGTAACGTGAACTCTAAAATGACAGAAACTTTCTTTTAAATGAATATTGTAGTTGAGATGTCAAAAGAAACATAATGGAGATACAAAAAACGATAAAGAGTAGTTGAATGAGCTGTTATGGGTGTAGTATAGCACTATTCTCGTGTCCTTATTATTCCCTATTTCCATATTCTCTCTCCGAAAGTGTCAAAAACTAATAATTTTCAATTCTACATCGCAACTTATGTGCATTCCCTTCTCAAGAAACGCCAACACAAAGTACAGAGAGAGAGAGAGAGAGAGAGAGAGAGAGAGAGAGAGAACTACTACTAAATCACATCAATCCCAAATTCATTAATTCCCAGTTGATCTAATGACAATGAAAAAAGAAGCCCCAGAACTTGCAGAAAGATCCTCCTCCAACCCTAACAAACCTCACCATCTCAAACCTCACCGCCATACCCTCTCTCCCTACTCTTTCTACTCCCCAAAACTCTCCTTCTATATCTTCTCAGCTTGTGTCACCCTCTTCGTCATCCTCCACATCAAAGCCCTCCAAACCGACCAAAATCCCACGTCGTCATCATGGTCCCTCAAGCACCAATGGCAACGAGTCACCAACACCACCACCACCACCACCGCGACAATGGCCGAGAAGCTCCGCCAAGGGGTCACATTTCTCCCGCTCAAAGACCTACGCTACGCGGGCCCGGCTGCCCTCCAGGGCCACACGTGGTTCATGAGCTCCATGTACGACAAGCAGGACGAGGAGGGCGGGGTCCAGTACCAGCAGTTCCCCTCGCCCTCCTCTCATGGGCGGCTCCTCTGCGTCAAAGGCCGCGACAACCACGACGGCTCCTGGAACTCCTACGCCCTCGCCTTCCCAGAAGCTCTCCCCCACAACACGACGCTCATGAAAGGCTTGACGTTCGTGTCGTACAACCACTACAACTACGACAACATCTGGCACGGCCTGTCCGCTGTCTTGCCCTTCGTCTCGTGGTACATAAAGAGTTCGTGTGCTGTCCCCGACCGGTGGGTTTTGTACCACTGGGGGGAGATTAGGGCAAGGATGGGAGTCTGGTTGGGGAGCTTGATGGAGGCTACTTTCAGTGGGGCCCCGCGTGTCGAGGTGTTTGATGACGTGGAGGAAGGGAGGGCCGTTTGTTTTGAGAAGGCTGTGGTGATGAGGCATAACGAGGGTGGGATGTCGAGGGAGAAGAGGTTGGAGGTTTATGATCTGATGAGGTGCAAAGCGAGATTGTATTGTAATGTGAGCTTGGATGAAAAAAATTACAAGAGAATTGGAGTCACATTGTTTATGAGGACAGGGCCTAGATCGTTCAAAAACGACACCGCTGTGATTGGGATCTTTGAGAGGGAGTGTGCTAAGGTGGATGGTTGTCGGCTCATGGTGGCTTATTCTAATAACCTCACTTTTTGTGACCAGGTGCGCATTTTAATTCAAATCTTTAATTACTTGATGATGGTTTTTAGTGTTCATCTTTAACCACACTTACGAATTTAATCAGTTTGTATTCAATAGGTCTTCGAATCGTTCACTTTAAAAAAAAATTGAAACGACCCTTTTTGTTCGTTGATCATGGTCTTTTTTAAAAGTCTGAATATTTCTTAGTTAATGAAACCTCAATTTTTATTTTCGATTAGATTATGATACCAAACGGGTGATGATTGAATCATTTGTACTTTCATGTTGTACATAATTGACTCTTTTTTTGTTTGGATAAGATATTATATGAGCAGTTCATATTTAGTGTTCATGCGTGGGGCAAAGGAATCTTTTCTTCTTTTAATTGGGTTGCCGAGTAAGGACCACGTGATTACATTAGAAGAGATGAAAGGCCTGTCAGTAGGAATTTTATATACAAGTCGAGGTCAACAAAGAGGATTTGCTTTTGAAAGAATTTATATTGGTTTAAGGCCATCGAAGTGGGGAGGCACAGAAGAAGTTTGTGAGTGGAAATCTTGGTAGAGGAGAGATCTAATTGTAGATAGTATGACTAACTGGTATTTGATAAAGATACTCTTACATAAAAGTACATAGAATTGTTGGGTCTTTCACGTGAATAACCTACTTTGATATCATATTAAAATGTACTTTCAATGCAATACCAATTAGCAATGTATAGAGAGACTCAACTTCCAACCTAGATTACTCTCAATATTTTCCATAAAAACAATGCCTTGTAGATTTGAATTATGCTCTTTTTTGCCAGTTTTGTTCCTTTTAAAAGGATTATTCAATTGTTTCTTCCTAATATCTGATTGGTCAATCCAGGTGAGGGTAATGAGCTTGACGGACATTTTGGTATCTCCACATGGTGCGCAGTTAACCAACATGTTCTTCATGAACAGAAACAGCAGTGTCATGGAGTTCTTCCCAAAAGGTTGGCTAAAACTAGCCGGGATAGGCCAATATGTCTACCACTGGATCGCCAGCTGGTCAGGCATGAGGCACAAAGGAGCATGGCGCGATCCAAATGGCGACACGTGTCAGTATGGTGAAGATGATCGTCGATGCATGTCCATCTACAAGCATGGGAAAATTGGACACAATGAGACCTACTTTGCAGAGTGGACTAGAAATGTTATTGATGAGGTGAAGACAAGGAAGATAGAAGAAGCGAAAATGGCTACTCCAAGTTCTAATGGTTGTTCCTGTAATTAATTAAAGGCTCATTATCACAAAACGTCCCTAAAATTTACGAAACTATCAGATTGCATCCTTAATGTTTTTTTGTGTCATTTGTGGTCCTCAAAGTTAATATGTGTTTGCTGATGTGGGATATATATATATATATATGTATATATATATATCACAAAACATCCCTGAGGTTCACAAACCTATCACAAATGGTCCTTGCAAATTTTTTTAATTTTTTCATTTAAAATTCATAAAAAAAAACATTAAGAATGCAATCTGATAGTTTTGTAAACTTTAAGGACGTTTTGCGATATTAAGCCTTAATTAAATTCAACTCAATTCAGTGCAATTCATGATTTTTTGGTGGTGCTTAAGCCTAATCTGGTATACTACTTCTTTAAGGTAGCTTATAGTACATACTATATTGTATACATGGACATCGGTTTTGTTAAAAGCGAAGGAATAACTGAAAGTACTTATGAAGCGCTTACGTAATGCTTTGCTTTTAATATTTTCAGCTTTAGACGTGACAAACATGGCAGAAATTAATGAGCGATGAGTTACTATTACATTTAGTGCGTGTGATCAATCAATTGTTATTATGTTTCTCTACCTTCATACTCATGGAAATTGTATAAATAGGAACACAACATCCAATTAATCCATACAACAAATTCACAAATAGATAAACAAAACAAAAAGAATGAAAGCAAAGTAATTAGACATAAATGGATACAAGGCTATTTGGCTTCATGTTCTTGTCCCTACTGCTCTTGCTTTTCTCAAGTTTGCGTAAGTCTCTCTCTTTCACGACAAAGTAATTTAGGTTTTTTTATATATAATTTTTCTTGAGTTTTGGTTGATGAAGGAATGGAGGCTAGATTATTTTCTCAATAAAAGTTGTGGCGCAATATTAAACGTTAGATCTTATTAATGGTTAAGATTGAAGGCATATAATAATGGTAATTTTGTTTCCAACTAAAAAGGAAAGTTAAAAGAATTTGACGCATGTCAAAATTACATTGGTTTTAAAGAGGAACTTCTCCTCAATTTTAAGGAGCCAAGCTTTTCCCTCCCGTTTATTTGTTTGTTAGTTACTGACTAGCCCCTCGGCATGTGTGGCAATTAAATTTTTTGTTCTTATTTCTTCTTCTTCTTTTAATTTTTAAAAACTAAGATTTATAATATATATATTAAAAAAATATCCAAAATACTTTAATGTTTTGGAGTTGAGTAGAGAGTCCTAGGGCAACTACCGAATATGTTTATTTATTTATTTATTTATTTTAATTTAAAAAACTGTGAATATTCTAATTTATCCTGATTTAATGAAGTGTCTTCTCTTTCAACATATTCATTAACTAAGGGCAGTTTGGGGGATTTTGAATGTTTTTTTATGAGAGGGAATTTTGAATATATATATATATATATATAGATTATCATTTGCGAGGCAACACATGTAATTATCTTTTTTAATATATGGAATTAAAGTTTCTTTTTTGATAATACAGACGACACAACAACGGTTATGGCAGAAAATACAAGTACGATTATAGTAGAAGATACAGAAACAAGACCTGTGGTTGGGCAAAAACTATGTGAGACGTCAGTCCACTGGGCAAAACCTCTTTGCAGAAGTGAGGGGATTTGTTTTGATGATTGCAAAAACTGGGGTTGGGAAGGTGGCAAGTGCAAGTGGTTTGTTGTCTTGTATTGTGAGTGCAATAAGCAATGTTAATTCATGGGAAAACAGAAAAATATGTGTGATGTGGCAGTGCCTACCATCTTGTCTATGTCTATGGTAGTATGGTTTGAAATATTTTAATAAATAAATATACATGAATAAACTCATTCTCTACTATATGGAAGGTTATTGTCCCCACACATGTTTTCCAATCCTTTTTTCATCAAACAAAGCTGTTGCCCAACACTCAAAGCAAGCCTTTTATATCAACGAGGTTGTTTGTGTAAATAATCTCAGGGGAGAATATTCGTGAGAGATTCCTCCACCTTCGATGCCTAAGTTAATTAGATGATGTTTAGAAAGATACAAAAATAACGGAAAGGTTGGAGTTTTCTTCAATGGGAGAGCCGGGTGGCCGGAGCCGTGAGGGAGAGAGGAGAGAGAGAGAAAGGGATTTTTTTCAAGGTTTCAGAATTACCTCAAGTGTGGTTCCATCAATTTATAAACTCTTTGCTTGTCTAGGGTTTGAAGAATAATCCCTATTTAATTAGGATTATTCTTACCCAAAAATAGGTGATAGGATAAATCAAAGTGATTTGCAAGAAATCGGATCCTTGATTTAGGGAGATATTCCTATCTTAAATCATAGATAATTCCCTAATTAAATAGGATGTAATTAGGGTAATTATATAATTGACCTAAGGAATATTCCTTTTTCCACGTGTCACCCTCTTATTGTTTATCAAAAATATGAGTTCCCACAAATGCCCCTTAGTTTCTGCATGGTGCATATGTGGCATGAAGGACTTCTTTTGAAAGTTGGGCTCCTTTTGTGAGTTAGGCTCATAACTTTCAAACTTATATTCCTCTACTTCCTAGCTTGTAAGAAAGATCTAGGAGGAGAGAATTGCTTGTTGAGGAGAGGAGTTGCCGTGCACAACAAGGTAAGTCGAAAAAATATTTTTTTGTCTTTATTTTTTTGGGCTTCTCGGCCAGGACCAGCCGGCTGGTTGTCACTGGGACAGTTGGCAGCAGCTAGTGTGACCGATGGCAATCACGGCGGCTGCTAGAGGCAGCGGCTGCTGCTGTTTCTGGTTTTTTTTTCCCATTGTGCTGAAGCCGAGACCATGAGGTAGAGCCAAAGGAAGCATTGCGGCTTGACTCGAGTTGAGCCGCGTCGTGAACTTGGATGGTGTCGACACTAGCACGGTTTGTGCTGCACTTGCGGCTTGGGTAGTGCTAGCGATGAGGTGCTGGCGACATAGGCCGTGCTTGCTATTTGGGTCGTGCAATTCTCCTCCCTTTTTTTCAACCTCAAATTAGGGTTTTTCACTTGCGATTTGACTTGTGAATTTCTTCTTTTTTGCGACTATTCAACCATCATATGATCTGACGAGGGACGCCGATCGTCTAGTTCGCAAGTGCCTTTGTACCTATGGGGCGGTTCTCAGGTTCATAACAGGAGGTTAATGGCAAACTTGCATCGCATCACGATCGAGGCTCAATTTTGCGTGCTAGTTTTGCTTCTACTATACCGAATAATGTGCATGTCAGGTTGGCGGAACCTTCAGCCGATGATGTGGTTCGAGTGGACCCGAATAATCCGGATGTGAGGATTATCACGTTTCACCTCTTTTACTTATCCTTGGGTTCAAATTTCCCATGTAAAAGTTTTTCAGGAAGGTGTTTCATGCCATGGAGTGTGATCCAAGTCAGTGTACTCCGAACGTCTACCTGGCGGTCATTTGCTTTGACAACCTGAATTGCTTTTTCCAGTTAGGCTTGACCTTGCATGAGTTTTTCTACTTCTTCGAGGTGAAACACTGCAAGAAGTATGCCAAACTTCGTGCGAACAAGGAGAAGCTCACAACCTGTTATCTACTTGCAAAGAAGCCTACCCTAGACCTTGTTTGTCTGTTGAGAAATAGAGGGTTGCTGACTTTCTTCACAGGAGTTCAAGTCGTCTGCATCAATCAAGGGATGAGGATCGAATTGGGAAGGCTACTTATCTGTCTGGAAAGCGCACGCCATCTGCTGAGTTACGAGAGGTCAACCATGGAGTTGATCCAACATTGTTGACTCCCTTCGAGGCAAGAATGGTTGCGACTAAGAAGGCCAAGGAGTCATCTACTTAGGCGAAAGGTTCAATGAGTGCACAAACTGATGGCCTAAAGGTTGACAAGCTTAGGTCTGCTGGGGATGTAAGAATGTCTAATCTGCTCAAGACGAACTTCCTGTCAAGCTCTTCTACTTGCACCAAATTGGTTGATCATTTACATCAAGCTAGCAATCTTAGCACATTTTCAAGCCTTTCTCCGGAGATGTAGAAAGAGGTAGTTACCGCTTTGCTTCAAAAAGGGGTGATTTTTGTTGCTGAGGCTATTCGGAGCTCGTCTCATGTTGCCCCCTCTATTGCCTAGCTCGAGCAGTTAGAGAAGAAGAATGCTGATTAGACCGGCATGCTCTCGATCGAGCAGACACGCCATGAGACGAAGATGTCTGTCTTGAAGAAAGATATGTCTTTGCTGAAGAGTTCACTTGCTTTGAAAGATAATGAACTTGAGTCTTCTACTACCGCCCTCCATGAGTGAAGGGAGGCCTACCCCCGTCTCGAGTGTGAGTTTGCTAACATGACCCATATCTATGACAAATTGATAGCCAAGTGCGACACTTATCAAGAAGTTGCCGGAGGATCCAAATTTGAAGCTGTTGTTGACGCTTACAAGCTGGGTTACCTGGATTGCAAGAGTGGAGTCCTTGTCATTTTATTGAAGATGAAGAAGTCGAGCTATTCTGCCCAGAGATGCCCTCCGCTCAAGATAAACTGATTAATACTGTGGATATGGAGGCAGTGGAAGAGCAAGTAGCTGAGAAGAATGAAGCCAAAGAAGGCACAAATTGATGAGGTAGAGGCTAAGGCTATGGAGCAAGTGGTTGCGGCTGATGAGCAAGTGGTTGCGGCTGATGAGCAAGTGGTTGCGGCTGATGAGCAAGTGGTTGCAGCTGGTGAGCAAAAGACTGTAACTAACGAGTAGGGGACCACAACAGATGAGCAAGTGACCGAGTCGGATGGGACCACCGAGGACATAGCTGATCAGGTAGGAGCTGAGGAGGTTGCTAACCAAGAGTCACCTGCTGGAGTCTTGCAGTAGATGAAGACTGTTTATATTTTTATTCCTTTGTTGCTTTATTTTTCTTTAAGTATTAGTCTCTGTTAACCATCCCTTTTTGTTGAACTCTGGCCGGTTGGTTTCTTTGCTATGGAAATTTTAGTTAACTTTATAACTAAAATTTGTGTTAAGTCTATGGACTACTTGAGTGGATAACTGTGTAAGTTGTATCTTGGATGGACCAGTTGGCTGCTTAGTTGGGCAATTGCGGGAGTCGCCTCTTAGGTAGACCTTTTGGCCGCTTGGTTGGACAACTGCGGGAGTCGCCTCTTGTCAAATGAATATTCAAGGTTTTAGAACTGCCGACGCCTAAGTTAGTATATGGTCTCACGGAGATGCAAATCACACTGAAAATGTGGAGCTTCTCGTGACTTAGTCGGCAGATAGTCTCAAGAAGATTCAGATCATGTGGAAAGGACGGGGGGTTCTATTCAGGTACTGAAGAACCTCTCGAATTCATTGTTTTTTTGGCTAGGTTAACCGGTTAACTAGCTGCCGAGTTAGTTACCATGTGCTCAGGGGTTGAACATCTCCTGGAGAATGCTAAGATGTTTACCCATCCTTACGAAAAGAGTGTCTTCCATTAGCAAATGTGAAATGTTTACCCATCCTTATGGAAAGGGTGCATTCCTTTTGTGAGGGTGATTATTTCTCGAACACTTCGTTGAATGAAAAACTTGAACTTGTATTGATATTTGTACATTGCTTTATTGAATGGAAATAACTGAATGAACAACTTGAAAAATATCAAAAGTATCTTTTTCTTCAAATGAAGTGGAAACGGCTCAATCACCTGTTGGGAACCAAGCTAGTAAGCGGAAGTTTCATGGGTAGCACCTTGGGAGGTGATAGGCATTCCATTATCTCATAACTTCTTTCCTTTCTAATGTATCAAGTGCATAGCTTTCTCTGTCCCCAGGTCGGCTGACCACGTAAAGACCTTCATAACTAGGCTTCCTTTTTTTCGATCCTTGCCTTTATACTATGATAAAGGCTTTTCTGAGCACAAGGTCCCCAGGTTGGAATTGTCTTACCTTGGCTCTCTTGTTGTAGTAGGATATCAATTGCTATTGATAATCTGCAACTTGAACAATGGCTTTTTCTCGTTCCCCCTCGAGTAGGTCAAGGTTGAGCTTCATCTACTCGTAGTTTTGTTTTGATATATGATGCCCACCTCGACGCTCATAGATAGAACGGTATATGAGGAGGAATGATTGCTTCAATTTCATAGGCCAAAGAAAATGGGGTTTCGCCTCCTTTTGGTAGTGCAATAACCGCATAGGAATCCGAGCAACTCATTGACCCACTTTCCCTCAGGGCCTTCCAATCTTTTCTTTAGGCATTCTAGCATAATCATATTGGATGTTTCTACCTGGTCATTGCATTGCGTGTATCTCAGAGTTGATAAGGGTTGTTTGATGCCATACTTTGCAAAGAATGCGGTGATCTGCATCTCGATGAATTGTGATACGTTGTGAGTGACCAATGATTATAGGTAGCTGAACGGGCATATGATGTTTCTCCAGATGAATCATTCCACATCGGCTTCTTTAGCATACGATAGAGCTTCAACCTCGATCCATTTCATAAAATAGTTGGTGGCCGCGATCATCATCTCCTTCATGGCAGGAGCCAATGGCATGGGACCCATTAAATTGATGGCCCATTGCATGAATGGTCATGAGTTGTTTTGTGAATAGTACACTTCAACAGATAAACTTGGGACAAGCTTGTAGCATTGGCATCGATCACATCTTTTGACATACTCCGTAGAGTCATGGCACATGGCCGGATTGCCGTGACGAGAGGTTACGGCCTCATTTTGGGTTTGAAGCCCAATCCCGACTATGAAGCCGTAAGGGTGTTTCATGGCTCTATCCATAAAGCCGTGTGGCAGAATTGATGTTCTGGCCGTAAGGGCATGAGGTAGGTGAGTGCTCCCAACTGTGGGGCCGTGAGGCAAAGATGAGGTCTTGGTCGTGGGTCCGTGAGGGGGAGGACCGGTGCTCACAGCGAGGGGGCTGCGAGGTGGAGCCGTAGTCTCAACCATAGGGTTGTGAGACGTATTGATTGAGTCATTGCGACGACCTTGCTTCTCGTACATATGCTTCCAGCCATGGTTGCTCGGAAGGCCTTGAATGAAAAGTGGATGGAAGGAATTAGATTTCTTAGATTTGAGAGCAACACGTTGAATATAACTCGATACATCAATGAAAGCACCAATTTGTTTGTGCAAATAATCTCACGGGAGAATATTCGCTAGAAATTCCTCCACCCTTTGAACTTCCTTCTTCTTCTTCTTCTTCCTCGCTCCCTGTAAAATAGATTGAAGTTAACATACCACACCCGGGGGATGTTGGCGAAAGACCCTCCGATGCCTAAGTCAATTAGATGATCTTTGGGAAGATATGAAAATAACGGAAAGGTAGGAGTTTTCTCTCACAGAGAGAGCCGGGTGACCGGAGCCGTGGGGGATAGAGGAGGGAGAGAGTGGCGTGAGAGAGAGAGATATATATATATATATATATTTTCTAGGGTTTCAAATTACTTTAAGTGTGGTGATATGCCATCTATTTATAGCCTCCTTGCTTAACTAGGGTTTGAAGAATAATCCCTATTTAATTAGCATTATTCTTACCCAAAAATAGGTGATAGGATAAATAAAAGAGATTTATTGGAAATCGGACCCTTGATTTAGGTAGATATTCCTATCTTAAATCAAAGATAATTCCCTAATTAAATAGGATTTAATTATGGTAATTAGTTGACCTAAGTAATATTCTTTTTTCCACGTGTCACCCTCTTATTGGTTGCCAAAAATATGTGTTCCCACTGAGGTTTAGCCTAGTGAAAAATAGTATTGACTTGTAGATCAATAATCCCATATTCGAACTCCTATGACATTTTGGTAGTGTGCGAGAAACGCACCCCCCCCCCCCCCCCCCCCCTCCTTTTTTATTTTAAATTATCGCTTGTATTCAATTACCATCGTTTTCACAACCTATTTGCAAAATGGGCATCAAAATGCCCAAATTTTGGATCATTTTTGTCAAAATAAGCACCAAATGGCTTTCTAAACTATAGCCTATTTTTGGGCAATAGGTATAATTGTTGCCAAAACAGTGGTATTTTTTTAATACAAATGATAGTCTAAACTACAAAGGGGAGGGGGGCTTTTCTTAGACACACACACCATGAGGGTTCAAATTCGAGACTACTTATATGCAAGTGAATGCCATTTTGCACTAAGCAAGACCCTGTTGACAGAACAATAATATTATAACTACATAAGATGTTCAACCAAAACAATTATACTATTTCGAATTTAGAAAAAGAATTCAAAATTTAAAACAAAGGTTATCTAAAAACTAGTATGCTCAACAAGAGCTCAAGAGCAGCATGGTTCAAGTCAAAGATCTAAAGTCATGTCCACAAGCCCAATCCATTTTATATTATACAATTATAAAAATATCAATGTGAGACTAGTTTTGTATTTGTTTACCCCAAATCTCCTACCTCAAAAATAGGTAAGAGATTGGGTTATTTTAAAAGCGTGTCACTATTAGCAGGGCAAACCCTAATAGACTTGAATGAAATTGATTAACTTATGTGCTAAGAAACCTAACTTCTAACTAAACAATTGTGCATTGAATAGGGAATGGATTCAATATGAATTCTTTTCTATGCCTCAAGATGAATAAGAACTTTATTATTTCTCTATTATAAAGCTAGGAATATGAAATAATTTATGGAATTTCCAAGCTATTGACAACTGGTTTTGGGGCCTTAGGCCCAATGACATAGTCGATCGACACGAGTTATTCTATAAGGGCAAGTCCACCGCATGTGAATTACTTGGGTAGGAGGGGGCCCAAGGGCCAAATTGCAGCTCCAGCGTGCCAAGTCTAGCCTGGGCAAGGGTTGGGTCCCACGAGCCCAGGCACGCCCACGGGTAAATTCAGCCTGAGCTGCTGCCTAGGCAAAATAACACAATACTAAGTCCAAAAATTCTAGATTTTTTTTTTAAAATTTTATAAATACCTAGCCATATTCTTTACTTCCCACACCAAAAACTCTATACAAATTCATCTCCTCATATCTCATTTGAATAGTAATTGTTTTTGCCTTTTAGGGTAGAAATTAAAAAAAAACAAGGGCTGCACTATTCATGTAAATAGTGACAAACCTTGCATTGCCTTTGTCTTGCCATTACCTTGCCCTTACCTTGCCCTTACCCTTTAGAGTGAAGGTGCTCTAATAAGGGCCTTAGATAAGACCTTCACTACAGAATTCTATCGGTCAACAGAGTCTGTAAAATGGGGGTACCCGCTTTCTCCCTTTTTCTTTGGCTAAAAAAGTTCTCTACATGTACAAAAAAAAAATCCATAATAAAATACATATTAAAAGACTGAGTAAATCACTCGAAGACCCTGTATTTTTTTTATTTCTTTTATGGGAGTGGTGTCCTAAAGTGTTGATCCAAAAATTGGCATTACGACAATTATCTATTATCTACATTATTGGACTCTCACCTCACCTCCATCCCAAATTGCCGATATCATCTCTCTCTCTCTCTCTCTCTCTCTCTCTCTCTCTCTCTAGCTCTCTCCATGGCTGCAACAGATCCAACGTTCAATATCCACTACTCTTCACAACTTCCCCATGATCAGCCAGCCAAACTGATGACCAGCATCAAAAAGCTTGCAGAATCACCAGGCATCACCTTCATCCCTCCCACTCATACCTACACAAACAATCCCCATGATGATCTGGAAGCTTTGATAGATACAGAGTCAACGATCCCCACCGTTGACTTTTCTCTCCTCACATCTGGCACTCCCCAACAGCGCTCCCAAGCCATCCATGACCTTGGCAAAGCCTGCCAGGACTGGGGCTTCTTCCTGGTACTATTTTAATTACAGATGGGAATTAAATTGTTTAATTTAATTTTAATTTCTTTTTTCCACGTGTCAATGACATAGGTGATCAATCATGGTGTGCCAGAGAGTCTGATGAAGGCGATCTTGGATGGTTGCCAAGGGTTTTTTGATCTGACGGAGGAGGAGAAGCACGAGTTTGAGGGGAAGCATGTACTGGATCCAATCAGGTGTGGGACCAGCTTCAATGCCTCGGTGGACAAGGTGATGTTTTGGAGGGATTTTCTCAAGGTTTTTGTATATCCTGAGTTCCACTTCCCCACTAAACCTGCTGGCTTCAGGTACAATGTTTTGTTTTTTTTATACAGCGATATTTAAAGAGGGGAATCGAACCTAAAATATTGGAATTTATTTTTATGAGTTAAATCAGGGTCAAAAATCACTTGCTTTACCTTATAATTGAAGGGAGTATTTTTGTTCATTTTAACTCAAAGTGTATGTTTACTACTCTTCTCAATACTTAATACGAGTTCATAAGCTTAACCATGGTTATATAAATCAGAGTAAAAAGTCAACTATGATTAGAGCTATGAACACGTGTTAAATATCAATAAGGGTGGTAAACATACATCTTGAGTTAAAATGGTGAACAAAAATATATCCTATAATTGAATGGATTCTAAACCCTTGAAAATTCATAAATTTGTTAGGACAAGTTTCGTAACATGTTTTCGTTTTTATTTTTTTCTAATTTTTTAATTAAAGACAGAGAAGATATAGGAAAGATACTGCATGCTAGGCTGAACACATGATGTGTGAGAAGCAATAATCCAAAACAAAGTCGAAAAACCACTTCCAAAACCTCTGAAGGAGTGCGATTAAGTACCACCATTTAAAACAAAAATTCTAGCAGCCATCCTCGTAGGCAGATAAGCCCGAATTATCCCGGTTGATGTACCACGAACGTGATTATACACTTTTAACATGTTTGCTTACCTGAAATATGTATGAAAAGAAATGTGAAATATTATGATTCATGACTTCTCTTACATATACGAACATATATAAAACCAAAAATGTATGTTAACTTCACATTATAATCCGTAATTATATTGGTTAAAAGGCGTAGTTGGTCTCATATCTATTCCAATTCCAAGTAAAGATACCATAAAAATAATATTAGAGTCAGTCTCGTAGCACTGCTCGTACACTACTCATTAAATATTTAAAAGAAAGTACCTGTGATGATGAATTTAGTGAAACGGTTTTACCTTTTGTTTGTTTTAGCGAGCTTGCATTAGAGTATTGCAAAAGAACGCAACAAGTGACAAGAGAACTCCTGAAAGGAATATCAGAGAGCTTGGGATTGGAAGCCGGCGACTTAGAGAAGTTCTTGAATGTTGAGTCAGGCTTGCAGATCTTCATTGCAAACCTTTATCCTCCATGTCCACAGCCAGAGCTTGCCTTGGGAATGCCACCTCATTCTGATCATGGCCTCTTGACCCTCCTTATACAAAATGGCATTAATGGCCTTCAAGTGCAACACAAGGGTAAATGGGTCAATGTCAATGCCATGCCCAACTCCTTCCTTGTTAACACTGGTGATCACCTGGAGGTATAGTTTCTCCCACAAATTCTTCATTTCTTTGACTAAACATTTGTTGCATTTGTTGTTCCAAATTTAGGGACTTAGATTAAAATATAAGGTTAAACGGGTTTTGGGACAATCACAATTTGCATATGGCAAGATTTGATTGAAAAAAAGAAAATGAATGAGTTGTAATTATTTCAAGTGTACCGGATCTAGTTACTTCAAATACATTCAATCTAATGTAATCTAGTTTTTTTGTAGAAAATTAAGAAAAACACAACATAATTATATTTCAATTTTTTTAAATGTGGGTAATTGGCACTCCGCTAATCTCCACGTGCACTCCAAATTGAAAATTTTAGAATTTTTATGGTACTAACAAGTCATTTTGGTCATTTTAGTAAGTAAAATGGTACTAGCAAGTCGTTTGAGAACACTTCACAATGTCATCTCATGATCTAAATTGTTTCATTTTTTAAGTAACCTAACCTCCACAATTACAGCTCACTTTTTTCCTACATATGTTAGATTTTTAGCAATGGGAAGTACAGGAGCAATATTCATCGAGCAGTGCTGACCAACAAAGCTACAAGAATATCCCTTGCCACTCCAACTGGTCCATCTCTTGAAACAGTAGTTACGCCTGCACCCGAGCTCATAAACAATGAAAACCGTAAGCCAGCATATATTGGGATGAAGTATAAAGATTACTTGGAGCTTCAACAAAGCAGCATGCTTGATGGCAAATCCATCTTGGATCGTGTACGGGTTTCAAACTCTGAATAAAACGGTGGCTGTTGTGTCTGGTGCTTCTACAATTACTGTGCTTAATTAATTAGTACAATGCTCTAATAAATGAAAGTTGTAATATCACCAGAACAAGTTAGTCAAATGTAAGCAATATCCAAACTTGTATGATTATAAACATTTTAGAAAATGCTCCTTATCCCTCAAGCTTGTATAATGGGGTATAGTGGTAACTAGATCGACATTAATTGTTGTAAGGCCATCTCCAATGCAAGGACACAAACCCAAATTATCCCCCAAAATCTCTCCCAACCCAACAAAATGAATGACCCAAAATTTGGGAAAACCCAAATTTGGACCCAAATATGGGTCCAAGTATTGCCTGGACCCAATACTGTTTGTTGAACCCCACGCTGAGGTGGCTGAGGCCATGTGATTCTGAAAATTGGTGGGACCCGAGCTATTGACATTTTCTGATAGGCTTTGGCTGTGGCTAAAGCCACGTGTCAGCACTACAAGCTCTATAAATGGGCTTTGGCTGTTTCCTTTTTTTATTTTTATTTTTATAAATCAAATAGTATTGCTGGGGCTTTAAACAATCTGTTTTTTTTTAAATAAAAAATTCTAATAGTAACTTTAAATTAACGATCTAGATTAAATCTAAGCTATTTTAACGGTAAAAAAAAAGATCCAACGGCTGAAATTTAAATCCAACGGTCAAAATAATATTTTAAATTAATCTAGGTCAGATCCAACCTCAAAACTCACTCCAAACTCTATAAATACCCATCCATTTCTCAAATAATCTACCAAAAATATTTTATCTATTTCTCAATTTATTTTTCCTTTATCAATCTCATCAATCTCCTTTCATTCTCATACTTTTGATATCATTTCAAGCACATAAAAAAAAATTATGGAATTTCAATTTTTTTTAGGTCAAATTGTTCAAAAAATTAAATTATGATGTTATTTAAAAAGATTAAATGAAGAAAAGTCCATATAAAAAAAAAAAAAAAAAAAAAAAAAAAAAAAATAAACAATTCTTAAACAATTTAAAATTTAAGTTGCGGACCTAAAATTTGAGTCTGTAGGGTTGGGAGAAAAAATAATTTGAGTCCGGGCAAAACCCAAATAGTCACTTTTTGGAGGGGGGAAATTTGGGTTTAGCCCCTCATGGGTTGGAGAAGGCCTAAGAGTGGAGCTCATAAGGTGAAATGCAAGAATTGATGGAAGGAGTGTTGAATTGGTGCAGAACCTATAGAGTGGGTACAACAACTTAATGAATAGTGTGGTTGGGACTTTCATTATTGTAGACTACATGAATCGATATGCTCGCCTATAAGAGCATCCACAGTTAGGGGGTATATTTTCGGAGGTCTAAAGCTACTTTTACGTTTCCTTTACACATCGGGGGATGTAAATAATTTTTTTATTTTATGTTAATTTGTTTTTGGGGTTTTTTTATTTATTTATGTATTAAGATTTTTCAATTAATTTTATGTGTATTAGGTATATTTTATTTTTTCAAATAAATGGACCTAAAAAAATTTAAAGGGTGATTTTATTTTAACCCCATAATTTGCTCTTTTGACCCCATACTAATTTAAACATGAATAACCTATTTTACCCTTGTATGTAATTACCGTTAAGGATAAAAAATATTTAAAATAAAAATTAAATTTGCTCACTACACTCCACGTACGTTTCTGAAATCCTAGTTAAACTTTTTTCTCAAGCCATCATATTCCTAGAACCCTAACAAGGTTTATATGCTTATATTGATGAAAACATACCTAATATTTATTCATGACGAGTGAGACTGAAGTTAGGGAGGCTTCGAATGAGGTATGAGTTTATTTTTTGGCGTTTTTCAAGTTTAGGGTTGCATGGTGGTCGCTGGTTACGTGCAACACACTAGTACTGAACGTAATAGGAAAATTCGGTGGCATGCCACTGAAACATTGAACCTATTTTGGTTGTGTTTGACCGGCCGTTAACTTAAGATGTAGTGGAGGTCCACCGTAATGTGGAAAGGGGTTCAGTGTCGTATGACCGAAATTTACCTATTATTCAGTGGTGACGAACTGAAATATATTTGTTTTTTCAGTAATTTGTTTACGACCACAAATTTAATGCAAGCTATTTTGACCTTGCTCCTATTGAAGGAACAAAAATAAGGTGACGCCACTATTGAAAGCAACAATGTGTTCACCCCGTTTCGTGAGTACTCCTGAGATGGAAGGGCAAAGTTCCCAACTGCCTTGAAAACCATTGACTGGTCAACAAGTCAGCTTTCTTTGGTGTATGAGCGTGCCACTGCTAGCAATGAAGATTCTAGCAGATTCATTCTAGAATAGATAACCTGTGCCCCAAGTTAGCGATTTCTGTAAACAAACGATTGTGAATTTGGGTGAGGAATACCTCCCAAGTAAGTTTTTTTCTTGCCTCAGACTGGTGAGAACTTTAACAATTTATCTTAGTATAAAGAGGTTGTTCTGGCCAAAATGGTTGATGGAATTTAAGCTGTCTTAGGCAGAACTGCCTTTTACAAAACTATAAAAATAAATACTCACGCTAGAAAGATAAAAGGACAGCTGGAACTCCATTTCTACCTGGACAGGATGATCTAACCCGGGCTGGACTGGAAATATCTGGGGCAGAGGGATCCTCACCCAAATCAATTGTTTCCAGCTGCTCAGCTACCGCTGCTGATCCATCTTGCATGTGTCTGGGTGCTGTCATCGGTTCTTGGAAAACACAAGGCATGGGTGCCTTGTTATTAGAACTCCCACAGCTATTTGTTTGCATTACTTCCCCTCCATACTCGGGGCTTTCCCGTAGGACACGATCAAGCCCCTAACCCCGTCATAAGCGGTACACGGTACGTCCATCAGGCAGCATCACCTTTGAGCATTGGGGATGATCATAGGCATGACTGTTGACTTCCGAATGCCTCTTTCTCTCTCGATCGACAATGGAGATGAGCTCCTCATTGCTTAAATCACGAATTTCAGTCCACGAAAGAAGGTAGGTCCCGAAATTCTTAGATGGGTTGCTTCCAACACCTGTGCATTCAGTGTAGAATTCTGCCTCGGAGTAGTGAGCTTCATCTTTGTTGAACGGTGCTTCATTCCCAGGTATGCGTAGTGGCCTCAGCCCAATCCTTCCTTTTACGCATTGATGATAGGTAGAGACCATAAGTTTATGCTTGTTGAGCTATGGCCTTCTAAGCAAAGCATGGTAAGCCATATCCACATCCACAACATAGAACTTAGTAAGTGACCGAATTGGCCCAACCTTCAAATTTACTTGCAGATGCCCGACTGTGACCTCACTCTTATTCTCGAAACCGCTGATGTTTGTTTGTGATTGGACAATTTTGGATAATGGGATACCAGCTGCCGTAAGCACTGACAGAGGTAATATGTTGATAGAGGAACCCGTGTCTACCAAAGCTCTCCTTATGAACACATCATTGATTTGTCCCTCCAAATAAAGCGGCCTCCTATGTTCCGAGTATGGAACTTCCATGTCTTCGTCTGTGAAGACAATAGCATTGTCATTTCCCAAAAATGACCCTTGTGGTTGAGCGGTAAAGCGATGAGAGTTAGACTCCGCAGAGATATTCATCAGAGCTACAGCAGCTGCTTCTCTTGCTTGAGGCCCGAAGCCAAGTTGGTCAAAGAGTGATTTGAACTTCGGGTTTCTTTGAAGGACCTGTGAAGCTGTGGGCCCTTGTTTCATGCTTAAATAACGTTCCATCACACTTGTTTCAGCTTCCGTGAGATTATGAAATGTCACAGCAGCTACTTCCTGCTGCTCCGATAAAGCCCCCGAATAGCATTCTTCCGGCATGTCCAAAACAAAAAATTCGCTGTCTGAGCTGTTACCTCATCCATTAGCGAGCGGCCATGGTGTGTTGTAACTTGAAGGCCTCGAATATTTACACCAATATGCCTTCTCCATGTTTCCGCAAGGTTCCCATATAGCTTCCGGCGGCTTTGGGTCATTCCTCCAAGGGTGGCACAATTCATCATCATCGAGCAAATCATCGGAGCATGTAATGATAGCAGCGACCTCCTTTCCCTTTCGTTTTGGCAAGGGGTCTTCATCAATTGTTTGCTTCCTAGAGGGAAGTTCAAGGACTCCCTCATGTATTTTGGCGTGTAAAATCCTCCTAAGACTTTGACAGGTAGTAGTTGGATGCCCCACAAATTGGTGATAACGGCAGTACCTAGGATCATTATTTTCCTCTCGGGTAGGAATTTTGTAGGGTCTGACAGGCTTGATTACGCCATCAGCAATCATTATGTCAAGGATACCATGAAATTCTTCATCTTTGCATGGTAAGGGTGGATACGTTCCCCTATCCTTCCGTTTGCGTGAATTATAGTAGTTGGATGGCTTGTCATCTATTGCTAATGTCTGATGCACTTCCTTCTTCTCATTCCTCTAAGTCCTTTGTCTTGTTGGCTTGACGGACATGCATGTCATCCTCACAGCTTCCAGCAGCCGAGAAAATTGACTAATGCCAATATTCTCCAAATACACTTTATAATCTGCCACAATATTTCTGATGCAGATTTCAACAAGCGCCTCCTCATTTTTCTCATCGTAGCAATCTAATGCCAGGTCCCGGAACCTACGCACAAAGTCCACGGGATCCTCACCATGCTTTTGGCGAGTGTTGTTGAGTTGAGTGGTGGTAACTCGTTCTTCATGCTGGAAATACTTCTTACAAAACCTGCTTGCCAAGCTTTCCCAAGAGTGAATAGAGCCTGGTGCCAACGTCGTATACCATGTGTAAGCACGATCGGTGAGACTCTTTGAAAATTCTTTAAGTCGAAGATTATGATCACCAGCATATGATCCCAAGGCATCAATGAAGCGATTGACATGCTCCTTCGGGCTCCCCTTCCTTCCGTCAAAGAGAACAAAGGTTGTGCTTCATAACCTTTAGGATATGGCTGCTGCAGTAAGCTGGATGGGTACGGTGGCTGAGGAAGATACTTCCAATCTTCCTGACTTCGACTCAGCTCCTTTTCCAGCATGGCAACAACGTCTTCCTGAGTGACAAAAGATGGTCCTTTTTGCTCAGACTCCTTTCCGGCAGCAGCAGATTCTTCTTGTGGGTGTTTCTCATTCACTTCACTTGGCTTTGGAGCCGAATTTTTGAGTTCTTTTATCATCTCTGCCATCTCCCTCTGGGTCTCACCCATAGCATGAATGGCTGCAACAAGGTTTGTGAGGGTAAAAGTTCCTTCACTTGCACGTTCTTCTTCTCTAGAAGAGGCATGTTGCCTTGACTCTGAGTCAGCATGGCTTGGCCCATCCTGGGAAGTCATGTTGTTGCTTCTGGTCTTCTTTCTTGGAGGCATTGATGAAGATGATGGCTTAATCCCCAGTGAAGTCGCCAATTTATGTAGGGGACTTTTTCTTCCTGCAGCTAATGGGCTGGGCTACTTTTCTCTCTTGTGTTTACCCACATGTTTGGGTCTAAGAAATGGGCTTGAGTCTCGAGGCTCCCAAGCAACCCGAGACTTTCCATTTTTCTGGCCCATCAATGGGCCTCATGTTGATTTATTACCGTCCATACCACAACCCACTCAAGCAAGCCCCGGTTTTTTTGAGTGGCTTGCGCCCACTTAGGCTTGTAGCGTGGTTGGGTGTGCGATAATGATTTCGTGCTTGGCATGGCACATTGCTTGGCATGTTTTAATTTATCGTCCTGCAATGCTTATTTTTTGCATGGGCCTATAGACCCGGTATATTTTATCTCAATCTTGAGCGAATTTATCTATTTAGCGTGGCACGTAAACTGTAATTTGCATGTGGTGGGTTTCGGTGCACTCTGCTTTACGCTTTTTCCTAATGGATCGTCGTTTTGGGCTGATAATTTATTCGGGTCCAACCATGTATTTTTTGGGTCTCAACACTTGCCATCACCTTGCCCTTACCCTTTAGAGTGAATGTGCTCTAATAAGGGCCTTAAATAAGACCTTCACTACAGAATTCTACCGATCGACACAGTCTGTAAAATGGGGTACCCGCTTTCTCCCTTTTTCTTTGGCTAAAAAGTTCTCTACATAAAAAAAAAAAAAAAAAAAAAAAAAAAAAAAAAAAATACATAAAATTATAAAGACAACGAAAAGTAACCGATCGACTCGAAAGAACCCTGTATTTTTTTATTTCTTTTATGGGAGTGAACCACTAAAAGACTCTGTCCTAAAGTGTTGATCCAAAAATGGGCATTACGACAATTATCTATTATCTACATTATTGGACTCTCACCTCACCTCCATCCCAAATTGCCGATATCATCTCTCTCTCTCTCTCTCTCTCTCTCTCTCTCTCTCTAGCTCTCTCCATGGCTGCAACAGATCCAACGTTCAATATCCACTACTCTTCACAACTTCCCCATGATCAGCCAGCCAAACTGATGACCAGCATCAAAAAGCTTGCAGAATCACCAGGCATCACCTTCATCCCTCCCACTCATACCTACACAAACAATCCCCATGATGATCTGGAAGCTTTGATAGATACAGAGTCAACGATCCCCACCGTTGACTTTTCTCTCCTCACATCTGGCACTCCCCAACAGCGCTCCCAAGCCATCCATGACCTTGGCAAAGCCTGCCAGGACTGGGGCTTCTTCCTGGTACTATTTTAATTACAGATGGGAATTAAATTGTTTAATTTAATTTTAATTTCTTTTTTCCACGTGTCAATGACATAGGTGATCAATCATGGTGTGCCAGAGAGTCTGATGAAGGCGATCTTGGATGGTTGCCAAGGGTTTTTTGATCTGACGGAGGAGGAGAAGCACGAGTTTGAGGGGAAGCATGTACTGGATCCAATCAGGTGTGGGACCAGCTTCAATGCCTCGGTGGACAAGGTGATGTTTTGGAGGGATTTTCTCAAGGTTTTTGTATATCCTGAGTTCCACTTCCCCACTAAACCTGCTGGCTTCAGGTACAATGTTTTGTTTTTTTTATACAGCGATATTTAAAGAGGGGAATCGAACCTAAAATATTGGAATTTATTTTTATGAGTTAAATCAGGGTCAAAAATCACTTGCTTTACCTTATAATTGAAGGGAGTATTTTTGCTCACTTTAACTCAAGGTGTATGTTTACTACTCTTCTCAATACTTAATACGAGTTCATAAGCTTAACTATGGTTACATAAATCAGAGTAAAAAGTCAACTATGATTAGAGCTATGAACACGTGTTAAATATCAATAAGGGTGGTAAACATACATCTTGAGTTAAAATGGTGAACAAAAATATATCCTATAATTGAATGGATTCTAAACCCTTGAAAATTCATAAATTTGTTAGGACAAGTTTCGTAACATGTTTTCGTTTTTATTTTTTTCTAATTTTTTAATTAAAGACAGAGAAGATATAGGAAAGATACTGCATGCTAGGCTGAACACATGATGTGTGAGAAGCAATAATCCAAAACAAAGTCGAAAAAACCACTTCCAAAACCTCTGAAGGAGTGCGATTAAGTACCACCATTTAAAACAAAAATTCTAGCAGCCATCCTCGTAGGCAGATAAGCCCGAATTATCCCGGTTGATGTACCACGAACGTGATTATACACTTCTGACATGTTCGCTTACCTGAAATGTGTACGAAAAGAAATGTGAAATATTATGATTCATGACTTCCCCTACATATACGAACATATATAAAACCAAAAAAGTATGTTAACTTCACATTATAATCCGTAATTAGATTGGTTAAAAGGTGTAGTTGGTCTCATATCTATTCCAATTCCAAGTAAAGATACCATAAAAATAATACTAGAGTCAGTCTCGTAGCACTGCTCGTACACTAATCATTAAATATTTAAAAGAAAGTACCTGTGATGATGAATTTAGTGAAATGGTTTTACCTTTTGTTTGTTTTAGCGAGCTTGCATTAGAGTATTGCAAAAGAACGCGACAAGTGACAAGAGAACTCCTGAAAGGAATATCAGAGAGCTTGGGATTGGAAGCCGATGACTTAGAGAAGTTCTTGAATGTTGAGTCAGGCTTGCAGATCTTCACTGCAAACCTTTATCCTCCATGTCCACAGCCAGAGCTTGCCTTGGGAATGCCACCTCATTCTGATCTTGGCCTCTTGACCCTCCTTATACAAAATGGCATTAATGGCCTTCAAGTGCAACACAAGGGTAAATGGGTCAATGTCAATGCCATACCCAACTCCTTCTTTGTTAACACTGGTGATCACCTGGAGGTATAGTTTCTCCCACAAATTCTTCATTTCTTTGACTAAACATTTGTTGCATTTGTTGTTCCAAATTTAGGGACTTAAATGAAAATATAAGGTTAAACGGGTTTTGGGACAATCACAATTTGCATATGGCGAGATTTGAATGAAAAGAAGGAAATGAATGAGTCGTAATTATTTCAAGTGTATCGGATTTAGTTACTTCAAATACATTCAATCTAATGTATTCTAGTTTTTGTAGAAAATTAAGAAAAACACAACGTAATTATATTTCAAATTTTTTTTAAATGTGGGTAATTGGCACTCCGCTAATCTCCATGTGCACTCCAAATTGAAAATTTTAGAATTTTTATGGTACTAATAAGTCATTTTGGTAATTTTAGTAAGTAAATTGGTACTAGCAAGTCGTTTGAGAACACTTCACAATGTCATCTCATGATCTAAATTGTTTCATTTTTTAAGTAACCTAACCTCCACAATTACAGCTCACTTTTTTCCTACATATGTTAGATTTTTAGCAATGGGAAGTACAGGAGCAATATTCATCGAGCAGTGCTGACCAACAAAGCTACAAGAATATCCCTTGCCACTCCAACTGGTCCATCTCTTGAAACAGTAGTTACGCCTGCACCCGAGCTCATAAACAATGAAAACCGTAAGCCAGCATATATTGGGATGAAGTATAAAGATTACTTGGAGCTTCAACAAAGCAGCATGCTTGATGGCAAATCCATCTTGGATCGTGTACGGGTTTCAAACTCTGAATAAATCGGTGGCTGCTGTGTCTGGTGCTTCTACAATTACTGTGCTTAATTAATTAGTACAATGCTCTAATAAACGAAAGTTGTAATATCACCGGAACAAGTTAGTCAAATGTAAGCAATATCCAAACTTGTATAATTATAAACATTTTAGAAAATGCTCCTTATCCCTCAAGCTTGTATAATGGGGTATAGTGGTAACTAGATCGACATTAATTGTTGTAAGAGTGGAGCTCATAAGGTGAAATGCAAGAATTGATGGAAGGAGTGTTGAATTGGTGCAGAACCTATAGAATGGGTACAACAACTTAATGAATAGTGTGGTTGGGACTTTCATTATTGTAGACTACATGAATCGATATGCTCGCCTATAAGAGCATCCACAGTTAGGGGGTATATTTTCGGAGGTCTAAAGCCACTTTTACGTTTCCTTTACACATCGGGGGATGTAAATAATTTTTTATTTATGTTAATTTGTTTTTGGAGTTTTTTTATTTATTTATGTATTAACATTTTTCAATTAATTTTATGTGTATTAGGTATATTTTATTTCAAATAAATGGACCTAAAAAATTTAAAGGGTGATTTTATTTTAACCCCATAATTTGCTCTTTTGACCCCATACTAATTTAAACATGAATAACCTATTTTACCCTTGTATGTAATTACAGTTAAGGATAAAAAATATTTAAAATAAAAATTAAATTTGCTCACTACACTCCACGTACGTTTCTGAAATCCTAGTTAAACTTTTTTCTCAAGGCATCATGTTCCTAGAACCCTAACAAGGTTTATATGCTTATATTGATGAAAACATACCTAATATTTATTCATGACGAGTGAGACTGAAGTTAGGGAGGCTTCGAATGAGGTATGAGTTTATTTTTTGGCGTTTTTCAAGTTTAGGGTTGCATGGTGGTCGCTGGTTACGTGCAACACACTAGTACTGAACGTAATAGGAAAATTCGGTGGCATGCCACTGAAACATTGAACCTATTTTGGTTGTGTTTGACCGGCCGTTAACTTAAGATGTAGTGGATGTCCACCGTAATGTGGAAAGGGGTTCGGTGTTGTATGACCGAAATTTACCTATTATTCAGTGGCGACGAACCGAAATATATTTGTTTTTTTAGTAATTTTTTTACGACTACAAATTTAATGCAAGTTATTTTGACCTTACTCCTATTGAAGGAACAAAAATAAGGTGACGCCGCTATTGAAAGCAACAATGTTGGAACAGAATGTGTAATGGACTATAGTGATCAATTCAAGTACTCATTTTGAGTTTTTTTTTCTTTTTTTTTGTCCGAAATCCTTTTTAGTATTATTAACGTGGCATTAAAGTTTCAAATTTGAACTTCAAGTAACATGAGTTTTATGTGTAGATATTCAAAGGTAGAGATGCATTAATTAGATGGGATCATGCACAAGGAAAGATGAATAATATCGTAATTGTAATTAGAAGGTTTGATTCTGGAGGTGAAGGCAAGAGGAGATCTCGAGTAATACTTGCTTGTGAGAGGAACAGTAAATATGAGCCTTGCAAGTCTAGTAAGGCAAATAGTATAAGGTCAAATGCAAATGGTAATACAAAAAAGTGTTCGAGGGACACTAGTACCAATAAATGTGAGCCTGGTCGAGTCTTCTTGAGGCTCGAGATGTAATTATTACTGGAGCTCATTGGCAAATTAGCAATGGAGCAAGGGCGAGAATTTGGATTGATTGATGGGTCCTATCTCTGCCCGACCTACACCCACACTATGTTCCATCATCAAATGAGGTTTGGAATATGACAGTAGAGGAGGTAATTGACCATGATATTGGGGCTTGGAATTTTGAGTTCATCGAGGATTTGCTTAGTGATTCGGAGAAGCAAGCTATCAGGTTAGTTCCCATTGGGTCAAGATTTGCAGGGGATAGACTAATTTGGCCTTCGGAGAAGTCTAGGATTTACTTTATTAAGGCTGGATATCACTGGATCCACCGTTTGGCTGCCCGAGGATAATCAAACAGGCTTCTACCTCATCTCAAGTACCTCTTGAAATCTGGAGTCTCATTTGGGGAATAAAATGCCCCCCGAAAATTAGAAAATTTCTATGGTGTGCTCTTAGAAGGGGTTTGGCTACAAATGAGAATCTTTATAGGAGAAGGGTGAGATCTTCGCCCTTATGTGCTTTATGCCATCAATATGAGGAATCTGTCAAGCATATTCTTCTCCTTTGTCCATGGGTTAGTCCTGTTTGGTTTGGAGGTGTTTTGAGTATGAGAATTTGCAAAAGTGAAATCACTACGATGTGCGAGTGGCTCCTTAAGGTGGTGATCTGGGCAAGCCTTAATAAAGCTGATTTGGCCCATGTGGCTAAGTCTATTGCTTTTACTTGTTGGATTATTTGGAAATTTCGCTGTAAAGTAGTCATTGAAGAAAGACCCATGTCACCATTAGCAACCATCTTTGCTATCTCTACTACTGAATTGGAGTTTGTTGACGCTGTAACCGCTACCCGCTTGGACTGTCCCTCCCCCACGCTTGTGGAAACTACTTCTTATGCTTGGATTCCTCCAGTGCTTCATAGAGTTAAAATCAACTTGGATGTTGCATGGTCTCCCACATCCAATCAGGGTGGCATTGGTCTGGTTGTTCGTGACTATATGGGAACCTTTTTTTTAGCAATGGCTATTCCCTGTATGGCAAACTCTGTGCAGGAGGCTGAGGCTTTGGCAGCTGTTGAAGCCTGTTCTTTAGCTATTGAACACGGGTTCAGACATGTCCAGTTTGAGTCGGATTGCCTGGAGGTGGTCCGTGGGATCAGTGACAACATTAGACGTGGTAGGTGGGAGTTGTACCCACTCTTATGTAGGATTCAGGATCAACTTGGCCATCCAAACTTTGAGTTTTCTAGCTGGACTTGGCGTCCAAGATCAGCAAATGTGGTAGCAGATCATATTGTGAATTTGGCTTGAGTGAAGATGAACAAGGAAACTTGGGTTAGGCGACCCCCATCTTCACTAATGCACATTCTGAATAAGGATGGTTTACCCAGCCCTCACTCTTAGTTTGCATGGAGGCATTTTGCAGGTGGCGACGTTTAGAGCAACTCTACGATGTCGGTGTTATGGCCACTTGCAGCTTGCATTTAGGGCATGTTTACGTATTAGTAATGGAGAAAGTAAGGAATCAAAGAATTTAGGAATCGGAAAAGTACTGAATCGGTATGGAAAGAATCATTCCCATTAAGCTGTTTACTAAACATATGGAATTAGCAAAGGAATGAGATTAATTCTCATTGTTATTGTTTACTAATTTGCATGAATCAGAATCCAAATTAATTTTAGAATTATGGTAAGGTGGTAAGGGTATTTTTGGAAGTTATTAAGAGAAAACAGGAATGGGAATCGTATCGACTACTTCCCCCTAGTTGATCTGATATCTAGTTTTGAGGGAATGTGATTACGGATTTTGAGGTGGGGCCCACTTATTTTTTCATTCCTGATTGCAAGTAAACACAGGAGAAGTCAGGAATGGAAATCATTCCCTTTCCTCCCATACCCATTACTGATACGTAAATATACCCTTAGTTTAGTTTTTTGCTTGTCCTGTCTGTCTAGGACTTTTTTCCTTGTTCGGTTTCGTTTTGGCTTGTTAATGAATTCCTCCCTTTTGACAAAATAAAAATAAAAATCATGTTGTTAACCTTGTTATTTTATTGCTTTCACCTTTGGTTCTTTCGCACTATCTTTATGTGATTTAATTGATTTGGTTGAATGCTTTAGGCTTAATTATGTACATGCCCCATGTGCTTTTCAACTTATCTCATATTACCACCTATGTTTGAAAACGTCTCAAAGTACCCCCCCAACGTGCAAAAAACCGTCTCACGTTACCCTTTCCGTCAGTTTTTTTGAAGTTCCGTTACGAACGTTACTGTTCATATCCCCTAAAATTCCAGAACAGCAACTCCTCTCATTTGTTACTGTTCATCTGACCAATTTTTGGGCTGCCATCGCCTCCTCCGGCCACCCCAAGCGACGACATGGATATCAAAAGAACCAGCACGTTGTCCTCTACCACCCTCACATCTCAGCCGCTGCCAACCGTCGTCTCGATCACCGAAAAAAGCAAGAAATTGGCCGGTTTTTACCCAAAATCTCCATTGCTCGTTCGGGCGATTCCGAGCACCATTTTCTTCGATCCAGGTATGATTTTTCAACCTCTCGAGTTGTTCTTGCTGCTAGTTGTGTTGGTTAGGAGAAATTTCTGAGTTTTGGAGGGTAAATAAGCGATGAACAGTAACAAAGAGGAGGGGCTACTATTCTGGAATTTTGGGGGAGATGAACAGTAACGTTCGTAACGAAACTTCAAAAAAACTGACGGAAAGGGTAACGTGAGACGGTTTTTTGCACGTTGGGGGGTACTTTGAGACGTTTTCAAACACAGGTGGTAATCTGAGATAAGTTGGAAAGCACAGGGGGGATGTACATAATTAAGCCAATGCTTTATTCCGATTAACAACTAATATATGTTGTGCATTTTTTTTCTCTGAAGAGTTTTACATGCGTATATTTGCTTTAAAATTTTAAATTTGAAGGGAAAAATTACTAGTACATGGTTACACTTTATAATGTTATTATCACTCGAACCATATATGACCAATTAAATTTTAAATAATGCATTATTTCATTTGCCTTGAATTATACAATTTTAAGCTCACTAATTTGTTACAATGGGAATTTGGGATTTATACTAAGGTCCCGTTTGGTTCATGGGAAAGAAGACTTGGAAATGAGAAATAAATTGCTTTCACATGTTTGGTAAGTTCAGGCATGGGAAATCGTTGCCTGGCCCATGGGAAAGTAAGGAGGAAAGTGAAGTCATCCTCCCAACTTGAGTTTTGTTTTCCCTCATCATGGGAAAGTTTGGGAAAATGAGCCAACATTAAATACACATTTTTCATGACCATTTTGTCCCCATTAACAATTTAGGATTACAATATACCGTTAAATGCATTCTTTTTTTATTTGATTTAGTATGGGTATAATTGAAAATTTATACAAACTTTGTTTTTCATTCCTACTCAAAACAAACATAGGAAATGAAATAAAGTGATATCTCCCAGTTACTTTCCCAGCATTACCAAACGTGGGAAATGAATATTCTATTTCCCATCTTTTGAGAAATGACATGGAAAATGATTTCCCCTCAAATTCATTCCGTGAACCAAACGGGGCCTAAAAGTAATGCTACTTAGCCATCCGCCTTTTTTGAGCCTTTAAGATAACAACAAAATGAAGGCTTTCTTTTATGCTGGCTTCTGAATGTCTTGGGCATTTAAGTTCTGGAAAAGTTAAGTTTATTTTAGTTTTAAAGCTTATTAACAATTATTTTATAGGCTTAATTATGTACATGCCCCCTGTGCTGTTAAGTTTATCTCAGATTACCACCTATGGTGGAAAACATCTCAAAGTACCCCCCAACGTATAAATAACCGTCTTAATTTACCCCCTCCGTCAAATTTTTTGACTGTCCGTTACCAACAATGGGCCCCACTTCGTTTTAACCTTTAAGCTGTTCGAATAAGGGTTTCTCAGTTTGTAACAAAGGGGAAATTGGGTTTAGGGTTCATTGGAGAAGAGGGTTGTTGTCAAAATCTGAGGGTTCCTTCGATTTTAGGAGAAATTGGAGAAGAAATCATTGTTTGTAAAACTCTGAGGTGGAGTTTGAAATTGGAAGATTGTGGAGTGGAAGATTTGGGATGATGGAAACAGGAGAGAAGCAAGGAGAAGGAGGGCATGGCCAATGGTGTCATTGTGGGAAGTTAGCACGGATGCAGACTTCTTGGACCAGTTCAAACCCAGGGCGAAGATTTCTAGTCTGCCCAAAGTCAAAGGTAAGCATGTTTAAGATAAAATTTTCAGTCATTATTTTGGGCATCACAAATTGATAGAATTGTTAGTGATGAAATTGTCAGTGATTGATGAAATTTTCAGTCATTTTACCACCCAAATTTTCAGTCATTGTTCTTAGTTGATACAGGGAAGGAGAGAAAAATGATGTAGGTTTTTTCAGTGGTTTGATGCAGAAATGTGTGAGCGTTCAAAATCGTTGATACCTGGTTTGCTGAGGAAGATTGATAGGGTGGAGAAAGAAAATGCAAATATTCGAGCAAAGTCAAAAATATTGTGGGCTGCTATGTTGCTTTCCTGGTTGGTGGTGTTTGCCATGAAGATGAATTAGGCACTTTGGCAGTAGTTCAGTGGGCATTGTAATTTGATACCTGATGTTAATGTAATGTAAGGCATTTTGGCAGTAGTTAAGCATTTTGGCAGTAGTTAAGCACTTTGGCAGTAGTTTAATGGGCAAATTTAATTTGAGAACAAATGCTAATCTAATGTAAGACACTTTGGCAGTGTAATGTAATGTCATTTAGTGTAATGTAATGTAATGCTAGTTAAGTTTGTTCATTGTAATTTGTTTAGGGGTTACAAATGGTGACATGAATGGTAAGTTGTTTAGAGGTTACAAATGGTGACATGAATGTAATGCTAGTTAGTTAAGTAATGTAATGCTAGTTAAGTTTGATCTGTGATATGAATGGTAAATTGAATGGTAATTTCTTGATGAATCTAGAAGAAGATAACCAAAATTCAGTTTTCCCTAAAAAAGCAGGACCTGCCTTCTTTGCCAAAGTTTATGGTGGATATATAGCTTTTGGTAACATGCCAAAGTTTACTAGAATCTGGAAAGCAATAAGCAAAGCCCAAAACTAGCAAAAGCACCTGTCATTATAAGCACAAACCAAAACAGAACAGGTTCCAAAACATAACACAAACCAAAACAGGTTCCAACCATAACAGTCTTATGAATATATGCACAAACCAAAACAGGTTCCAAAACAGATTCCAACCATAACAACCTTAGGAAATATGCACAAACCAAAATAGGTTCCAAAATAGGTTCCAACCATAACATACATTAAATATTCAGGTTCCAAAACAGGTCCAACCATAATAGGTTCCAACCATAACATACATCAAATATTCAAACCATAACATACATCAAATATTTAGGTTCCAAAACAGGTCCAACCATAATAGGTTCCAAACATAACAGACATCAAATATACAGGTTCCAACCAAAACAAGTTCCAACCATAACAGACATCAATAATCCCACAAACCAACAACCATGTCTGGACCATTAAAGTCTTCCACAACATTCAAGGATTAAAAAAAAGGATCTTTGACAAAATGGCTCCTCTGTTGATCTTTCATCCTCCTCCGACGTTGTTGTACTCGAGATAATTTGGCAGGTTCAGGTGCTTGAGATGGCTGGGATTGAAAAGCATCAGCTGCTTCAGATGGCTGAGATTGAAAAGCATCAACTGCTTCATATGGTTGGGATAGAGAAGCAGCAGCTACTTGAGATGCCTGGGATTGAGAAGGCCCTTGGGAAGTGCTTGAGTGTTTCCTTTGCCTTAATTGCATACTCTGTTGTCCGCCACTTTGGTCTCCACCATCTCTCCTTCTTACCTAAAACAAATAATAATTAGAAGTTTCCATGATATAAAATTTTGATGAGTGAAAACATAGTTGAAACTGTGGCACTTACTGCAAGTTTGTCCTTGGCAATGTTCCTCTTCCTAGTAGGCTTTATGTTGGGATTTCTAGGTTCCTAATAACCAAAGTCATCAAGTCAAAAACCAAATCAAATACATTTAAATGTAAAGCAATAATTCTAAAAACCACATACCTTACAACTACTTCGATTATGCCCTTCTCCACCGCAATTGCCACACTTTAAAGGGATGCCATACCTAGGAAGCTTATATGGATTAGCAGGAAGTTTAGGTTCTTCAACAGCTTGTTTTCTTGTCTTCTTAGGCCTACCAAGCTGCTTGTGGTATTTCGGAGGGAGTAATGGAGGTAAATTAACCTTCATCCACTGATCTTGGCTAGTCATAGGCATAATCATTGGTTCATAGAATAAGCCTCTTTCTTGTACACTGCATCACAAAAGTCCTCTGGATTCCCATAAAACCAACTTATTGCAGCACATGCATGCAAACATGGTATTCCATTCAAATCCCAAGTATGGCATGAACAAGAGTGGGCATTCAAATCAACAGCAAAGGTGCGGCCACTATGGTGCATTACTTCAAACTGATTCTGTCCAGCAGCCTTAGGAATGCACCACTGAGCTTTTCCTTTGTTTTTCTCTAATATCTTTCTAATTCTTGGCCCAACTTGTCCATGCCATTTCTCACAGAGAACCCTTCTTCCCGCCATCAACAACATTATATACAACCGAATTCTTTCTAGCATAGTCAGAATAGGCTTGTCTCGGGCATCCATTATGCTACAGTTGAATGCCTCACATAGATTGTTCATAAGCATGTCACACTTGGAATCACTCTTGAAATATGCCTTACTCCAATGCCTAGGATCTTTCTCCATGAGCCAATCATGTGCAGGTTTAGACAACTGCAACATCTTTGTCATCTCTGCATGAAACCATAGCACTGTTGTGGCTCTAGCAATTGCTTCCATTTGATGTTTCAAGGCAAGACCTCTATGTTCCAAATAGAAGTTCCCATATAGATGTTTCAAACAATGTCTATGCTCTGTCTGAGGGAATAGAGCATCCACAGCATCTATTAACCCTTTTTGTTTGTCAGTCATAAATACATAACCATGGTTATTCATAATATTGAGATCACCACTCAATAATTCTAAAAACCACAGCCATGTTGAATTGCTCTCAATCTCTACATATGCATAGGCAAGTGGAAACATTCCGTTGTTTGCATCAACTCCTATTGCAGAAAGCACTTGCCTAGGGTGAGGCCCTTTGACATAACACCCATCCAAGCAAACCACAGGCCTACAACCATCTAAAAACCCCTTCTTGCAGGCTGCAAGACAGATGTAAATTCTTTGAAACCGTGGCCTATCACCTTCCATTTCAGATTTAATGATAACTGTACTTCCCACATTCCTGGTTCTTAACTCATGACAATATTCCCACAATACTTCATATTGTTTACTGTAAGACCCCTCTACAATGTCAACTGCCATGGCTCTTGCTCTGTACACAGTTGCTCTAGATGGTCTGTAACCATAGTCTTGGTGAACTTGCTCTACAAAAGAAGAAGCAGTCCAATTTGGATTGAGCCTTAACTGCCCAGAATATCTTTCAGCCAACCAGCCAGCAGTAGCATGTATATTTTTAGTCCCCTTGCTACAAACATGTGTAGGATTAAAGGTTTTCACCTGCAGGTAAGTGCTACCACTAACACTTGAAGCATGGATAACAAAAGGACAGCCCTCTTCACATACTGCTCTTATTTTGTTACGGTCATTATTCATAAAAATCAACTCCCTTCCACAATTAATGGAGTATATCCTCACAGCTTTTCTAAACAACTCGGCAGTTGCAAACCTTAAACCTATTTTGAAACTTGGGCTTCCCATATCAATTTCAGGTCTGAAATCTTCACCTTTTGGCATCCTATTCTTCTTCCTTCTTACTTCACCCACTGCATCATCTTCACTTTGTGAACTATTTGGGCAGGTAAGTGTAGGTGACTCTTCTCCATTGTCTGACTCATCATTTTGCTCTGCATTAGGATCATTGTCAAAAATACTATGATCACATAACCTTCAAACCACTTATCATCATTCTTCAATAATTCAATCTCTTCATCACTCTGTGCATAGTCACTGTCTTCAAAGTCTGGATCACTGCTATCATCATTCTCAGAACAAGAATATTCTTTATCACTGCTATCATTCCCCACTTGGCTTGAAGTTAAGCTCACTACCTTCAAGTACAAAACTACGACCCTGCTATTGCTTTTAGGTATCATGCTCATACAAGCTAAAAGTGTACTATCAGATATTATTTGAATGAGTCTACTAGTTCCAAACTCTTCACCATAAAAACTCACATCATACTCATCGTCATATCCCAAATCTTTAGCCATTCCAAATAGCTCTAACATTGACATATAGTCAACCTCACAGTAATCAAACCAACTGACTTCACCACCTAAATAAGACCACTGACTGTCCTTTCTATATTTCACTAGTTTACCTCCATGGAAAAACTTAAATGTGACAACCTCATCAGCATCTTTATCTGCGTAACAGGAACATTCACTTAACAAATGGAAAAAAACACACAAAGAGAAAATAAGGACCACACAAAGGATAATACAAGGAACACCCAAGGACCACATAAGGTATATTGGGGCCAGCACAAAATAAAAAAATATATGAAAGAACAAAAAAATTTCCAGGAACACACCACACTAGGAACATGCAAGGACCACACAATGATCACACCAGAACCAGCAGAGTCAAAAAGTATACAAAAAACAAAAACAAAATCCTAACAACAGTTCAATGCACATGCCAAAATCAAGAAAATCGAGTAACAATGGGTCCACTTACATATGGGTTGACAACCTCCAGATTCTCTAAGCACCACCATCTTCGCACCTTCTAGCCTTAAAGTCTAACGCCAAACAATGATTTCTTCTCCAATTTCTCCCAAAATCGAAAGAACCCTCAGATTTTGACAACAACCCTCTTCTCCAATGAACCCTAAACCCAATTTCCCCTTTGTTACAAACTGAGAAACCCTTATTCGAACAGCTTAAAGGTTAAAACGAAGTGGGGCCCACTGTTCGTAACGGACCGTCAAAAAATTCGACGGAGGGGGTAAATTGAGACGGTTATTTATACGTTGGGGGGTACTTTGAGACGTTTTCCATCACAGATGGTAATCTGAGATAAACTTAAAAGCACAGGGGGCATGTACATAATTAAGCCTATTTTATATCATACATGTAAAGTCATATTATTTACTTGAGATAATCTTGATTCAAATATATTTGGGTACTTCTTTATTTATATTTGGACCATTGGACTTCTGGCTACCCATTTCGGTCCGTGGTCCGCGGTCCGCGGGCCCCCTAAACCCTAAACATGTGCCCTGAATTTGAATTTCACAGTTTCTAGGGCAGCTGCTGCGTCTGCATATAAATTTGGGATTTACATCTTCTAACAATCAATGTCGAGCCATCTCTAAGGATACGGCGCCGCACAATCAGCTGCTGCTGATGCCGCCGCCACAGCCGGCCTCTCCAGCGTCTACACCTCACGTGCCCTAACCGAGTCCTACCTATCCGACCTGACCCTACGGTACTTTTCCGGGTCGGACCCTTCCGCCTCCGCCACCGACCACCATAGCCGAAGTAGCTCTATGTATCTGGCGACGTCGCATTTGATGTCCCAGCGTTCCTGATGTCGAGCCCGGCGTTCCAGGCGTCAAACGCCCCTCAGAAGGTTCTTCACTTTCCGCTCTCTGTAACTGTACTTCCGCTTTCCGTTTGGTTACTGGGAAAATTTCTGGGCTGCAATATTTTTCACATTTTATCTCGAATTTTTGTTGTGATGTAATTGTTTATTGTTTCTTTGATAAGAAAGTGAGATTGTTGAATATGGTTATGGTTAAAGTTCATGTCTTTAATACAGACGTTTACTGGAAGTTCGTAATCTTAGTTTCATAGAGATCAAAGGGTGGGAATGCACTTTCTGCTTTGATGCATGCATACATTGCTAATTTAAGCTTATTTCTAAGTTAATCTTGTATGCAATTGTATTTCTGATTCTATGTGTGCTTTTTTAATTTGCTTATCAGCAAGTATGAATATGTTTTTTTGCTTGAATTACACCTTAGATCAGGAATCTATTGATTTTAGAAATTGAATTTGTTGATCACAGATTGCAGCTGTTTGTGTGCTATTGTCTATTTGCTTATTAATTGATAAAGAGACAAAAGTTATATTGCTATAACATAACAGAAGTTTATGATTTGTTCATTAGGTTCCACTTGTCGCTCCAAGTGAATTCCTTTCTGAGAGACCTGGAGAGCCAGATTGTCCAGTAAGTAGCAATTCAATTTTTTTTTCTTTTTGCAGAAATGATATTTTTAAACAATTTAACTGGACATGGATTCTTTTCCCTTTTTTATGTTGTAGTACCTTATAAAGACTCAAAAATGCAAATTTGGTATGAGGTGCAAGTTCAATCATCTGAAGGACAAACTAGCTGCTGCTGTAAGTGCAAATGATATGTGGATTTTCCAAGAGTTAACTGTCATCTGGACCCATTCCCTATTTTATTAAGATATGATGCTCTACTCTGGTTTCAGGTTGCTTCAGAAAATTCTGATGTTTTTGCCTTACCTGAGAGGCCTTCTGAACCCCCATGTGCAGTAAGATATATTTCCATTTCTTTTTTGGCGTGCATTATCTATCTACTATGATGTAGATTTGCTTATATTCCATTTCATAATTTTTAAACAGTTCTACTTGAAAATGGGGCAATGTAAGTTTGGTGCAACCTGCAAATTTCATCATCCGAAAGATATCCAGATACCATCAGCCCAGCAAGAGAATAAAATTGGAGAAATTGGGACAACTATTCAGCTAGAGGGAACTGGATTTGCTGTGAAGCCTCCTGCACTATCATTTAACTCCAAGGAGCTTCCTGTAAGACCGGTAAGGATGAAGCAACACATGAGCCTTTTATTATTCTATATGCATTACGTCCAGCTTTTTGATGTTGTAAATTTATGTTGATCATGTATCTTTTGCTTCTAACAGGTTGAACCTGATTGTCCATTCTACCTGAAAACTGGAAGGTCAGCATATGTATAGTTTTGTTGATTTATACTGTGATAAAAGTAAAAGATGATTGAGAATTCTTAAATGTCTTTTATTTTCCAAATCAGTTGCAAGTATGGAGCCACTTGGGCATGACTAAAGAGAACAGAAAAGGCACTATGAGACAATCTTGTTGCTGCCTCCACCACGCACTCAGTGCCGTTGGCAATACCTCCTTTGGTGAGAAGAAGGCCACTCAGCTTACAACACTAGTTCTCCAATTCTTGTTGCCTAAGGCTCAGAGCATCAATTGCAACTTTTACTTCATCAGAGTGGGATGACATCCTTATGCTATGGATGATCCTTGCCCCAAAAATGGCACACCAAATTCCTCAACAAGTTAAGTAGGAAGTTTGTAATTAGTAATCTTACGGCATGAATTCTTAATAAAGTACTACAACATAAAAAAGGGCCTTCATGTGATCCACGAAGACCTGATAATCAACTTGAGTTGAATTTTATTGAGAAAATTCTCAGTGCAGCCAGGACCCCAAATCAGACCAATGCCTCTCTCTATATTTAAAGAAAGACCAGGAGTGATTGAGGGATCCGACCACATCACGTCACCAGGAATCAAGTTGGGACCTTCTCATGGAGCATTACTACGGCTCTTCTTTCTCTTTGATGATTCTCTATGGGAAGGTCCCAACTTGATTCCTAGTGATGTGATGTGGTTGATTCCTCAATTACTCTTGGTCTTTCTCTAAATATAAAGAAAGGCATTGGTCTGATTTGGTGTTCTGACTGCACTGAGAAATTTCTCAATAAATTTCAACTCAAGTTGATTATTAGATCGCATGAAGGCTCTGCACGGGAAAATAGGACATTACTGATTACAAACTTCTTTGTTGGTGGGATGAGATTTGCGAGGCTGTACCCTAGGTTCACCATTTCCTCCTCAGAGGGATGGAATCTGAACTTGGGCAGCAGATCAAGCACCGATTCTTCTGTTGTTGTGCTCGTCCGTTCAACTGTTTTGGAATATAAGGTAATCAAATGCTTTTCCTTCAGAGAAGAAGCAGCAGAGAGCAGTGAAGTTATATTTACAAACGAACTCACCAGCTACTTGGCTTTTTTTGACTTGTTTTTTATCCCAAAGATTCCCAAGTCTCCATGAACATACATGGCATTGGGTTGAGTCATATGCGTGGATCCCATCCACTTCCTATCATGCTTTGCTTTTTTGTTTCTTTTGTTATTTTGAGTATTCTGCCCCTTGTGTAAATGTTCTTTCCTTTCACTGGTCATGGATGTGTGAGGAAAATAATATACTTCAAAGAAATTTTTGACTTGTCATGCATTTCAGCAAAAGAATAGCCCCCTGTCTAGCTAGTAATTTAACGATAAAGTTTAAGTGAGACTAAAATTAGTTTCATGAGACAAGATAAGTAAAAGTTAACAGATTATTGCACAGACTATACTCAGATCATATAAGCTTACGGTGTGTGTCCGTAGAAAAGTTTATACAAAATTTACAGAAGCCTGGCAAGGATGGGTACCAGTGAAGACTTGCTCGTGCACTTGCAGTCACTCCTAAATGCCGATGAAGGGTTGCGCACAATGGTGACCTGACTGGATAGCCACTTCATGCTGGGATCACATGACTCAGTACAAGCTATTTTATTAAATCTCATTTCTATTTCCTTCGTTGACCCAAAAAAATAAAAATTTCTATTTCCTTCCACACCTGTTGGTCAAGAACAGTTGCCAGATATGTAGGGTGTATACTTTCGACGTTGAAAGAACACAGAGCAGCGCAGAAGACGTGTTCTGAGGGCGCAGCAAGAATATTTGCGTGCACTTGCATATAACCTACTTTACTACTGAAGGTCAGTTTTACTGACTAACATGCACAACGGAACTTGTTAGTCTTCACCAGGTGAGATAAGAATAAACAACAGTGACCCGAGTAAAGTTGATACAATCAAAGCAGCACAGAGGCGAATTACAAACGAAAAAACTGTATTGACTAAAACAGTAGTCAACCTTTGGTCCAAAATCAAATCGGACCAATTTCGGTTCCAGTTTTACTCTAATAAAAACCGAATCGAAAATTGCAATCGAATACGAACCTGAAAAGAGAATTTGAACCGGTCGAATTATCGATTTCTAAATCAAAATGGGCGTTTTGCCCAAATCAAACTGGTTTACTCAATTTTCTTATTTATTGTAAATTCTTACCTTCTCCCATACTATACACCTCTCCCCATCATATCAAACCTTATATAAAATCCTAACCTCTCTTGGTAAGTTTGGAAGAGGAAATTTAAATATACTAAAGAATTCATAAATGATGGTATTTAAAATTATAGAAATTAATGTTTTAGAATTTGTAAAATTTCTTGTATAGGTAATCTAAAAATATAATGAATTAAACACGAAATTTAACATTTATGTGGTAGTGGTGGTGTCATCATGTGTGATATTGGTGGTGCGGTTGCTAGTGGTAAGGTGGTGGTGAGGTGGGAGTGGTAGCAGTAATTGAGGTGGGGTGGTGGCAGAAGTGTTGGTTGGGTTATGGTGACAGCAATGATGGTGGGGGTGTTTGTGGTGATGATGATGGTGGTGGTAGCCTTGGGCATGAATTGAATAATTTAAGAGCCAAGCTAAAATTGAGGACCATTTCTAGAGAGACTGCTGCTCTTTACTCTAATTTACCTATTTTTCTATGGAAAGAAAGCAGTCTCTTTGTTCTTAAATAGTGAAAAATGACATATTCCCTTTTTTCCTTCATAAAAATGAAAGGAGGTGGAAGGGAGGTAATCTCTCTTCCTAAGATTATTTTATTTAAGCGATTTAACATTGATGATATATGCAATCTTGCTGAGAAGTTTTATCCTAAAGAAACTAAGTTGTAGGCTTTAAATCAACAATTGGGATTTTATAAGATTGATATGGACTGTCTTTCTTGAATTGCTAAAGTGTTTACTTCACACAGGGTTAGCACACACCTACCGTTTGGTTGATTGATTGATTCGTTTGGTGTTAACTCTTCTTGTTTCTACAGCAACAACAGAACGTGCATTTTCATCTATAAGACTTATCAAAAATAGACTTCGGAACAAGATTAAGGATGAGTTTCTTGTTGATTGTATGATACTTCACATTGAAAAGGAATTTGTTGATAATATTGATAATGAATCACTAATTAGTGATTTTAACTCTTTGAAGTCTCGAAGGGTGCAACTGAAATAGTTTTATTTTGTATTTGCATTGTGTATTTATTTATTGTTGCCTTTGTTTACTAGTTTCTATCTTATGTACTATATGCATTTTGAGGGATATGGCTCATTATGTCCCCCCTGACTAGGTGTATTATTTTTTGTTATTAATTAAATTCACTCGTGTCGTTGAGTTTTATTGTAAGGTAAATCCAGCCCTCACCATTTTGAATTCCTAGATCTGTCCTTGGTCAAGAGTCGTATCCCTCAAAATGCATATGCATTTTTGGGTGGTAGTATAAATATGAAACAAAGATACACATGCATCATTTTATACATTTTTGGGTGGTAGTATAAATGTACATCGTTTTACACTTGACCATTGAAGGGACTTCCGACGATATTAAATGTTAATATAGCATACAACTGCCTTTACACCTAATCATTGTGGATGCTCTAGGTAAATACAGTATATTTAAGATGTAACAATCAGACTGAGTTTCAAAAAGAAACATCCTAAAGAGAAAATTCTATGAGTTGTAGCATCAAGAAAGTAAATAAAACTATGCTCCTATATTATTTGGTACTCTCATATTTGCTCTATTTGACAATATGTTACGTTATCAACATGAAAGTAATATATTTTCTTTACTGTAAATTTTCTCAACTGCAATCAATGTGGCTATTTTCTATCTTGTCCGCTCTCACCTTATCATTGTGATGATGTGCACAATTTATCTATTATTGCTTTTCATATGTACTTGATTTATTAATATGTATAACGCGAATAATTAGAAAACCCATACGACAAGTTAATTATGAAATAAAATTGTTCCCGAAAGCAAACATAGTAGATTGCATTGCATTCATAATTTAGGTGCTATTTGCCACAAGGACAAATGCATTTGTAGTCATACCGATAACATCAAGTGCACAAGGTGTTCCTCCACTCATAGTCACACATGACCGAAAAAAAATTCCTTAGAAAACCAGCTAAAGGCCTCAAAACACAAAATTACAAATACAACAACCTTTAAATTATGACAAGTAAAACCTATAAGTAAATACTACGACACACAATAAACTCAAAAAGAATTGATACATTTATTACAACTCAAAAAATTGCAAATTGCAGATTTTGTCATCACCCGTTAATTAACCCATTTTCAAAATTTCTCATTCGGTTGTAGAGGGAATTAAGTGCAAATTGAGCAAAATTAAGAGAAACGCACCGTCTTAACCGACTTTCATCTCTCGCTGTGACATCTACACTTGTTGTGAGCGTGCGTTTCAGTTCTCTCTTCCAAGCCCTAATCTGTTGCTCCTTCCACTTCTCCTCTTCAGGTAAACTCGTCACAGTCTCCAACTTTCCTTTCGTTTCCTTTGGTTTCTGAGCAAACAAACATCGCTTGAGTTGTCCATGTATGTTAACTTTGTTGAAGAAAATTTAATTGTACTGTAGAAAGCCTTGTACTTTATGCAACTGATAGGCATTTTCATGGTTAACAGCATGTCGAGGCCGCTCTCAAAGTTGCTCTTCAAGGGAATTTCAGGCTTCCCGGCTGCCCGTTCTAGTAAAATTGTAAGATTCGACATATGGGTTTGTTTTGGTTCAGTTCTAATATCAGCTGAAATGGGCAAATCGGATTGTGGGCTTGTTTCAGTGCAGAATTGATTTGATTGTGTATGCGTATTTTGTATCTTTGCATGTAACTGGATCAAGTGATAGCATGTGTGTGTTTGTGTGTATATTTGTATTGAATTCATCAATTATATGTCCACAGTTTTAGCTTTGTTTGAATGTTCGTACTTCATACTCACCAAGGATAGCAGTTGAATTCTTTTAATTGGTAGTAGGTATTTGGATCCTTTTATCAAAATGGATTGATATACTCGACCTCTGTGCGTAATTATCCCAACACACATGACGATTGTAGACTTGTGTCAGTGCAGAATTGATTTGATTGTGTGCATATTCTGTATTTTTGCATAAATAACTGGGGGATAGCATGTGTGTCTGCTTGTGCGTTTATTAGTTTTGAATTCATGAATTCCATGTCTTCAGTGTTAGCTTACTTTGTTCGAATGTTCATACTTCGTACTCCCCAAGGATAGCAGTTAAATGTTTTCTTTTAATTGGTAGTAGGTATCTGGATCCTTTTATCAAAATGGAATGAGATACTCGACCTCTGTGCCTAATGACACCGACACACATGACGATTTTAAACCCGCTAATAAGTTCGACGGTTCTGGCCTTAGCTTGAAGGAACTTGTTGAACAGGTAAATATATGCCAAACTAATCTTCTTGATAAGAGCTCCTTGTTTCCCCTTTGTTATCCCGACCAAAGTTCGCTTTTCTTTAAGTTAATGGTTCTGGTCTGTTTCTGGTGTAGGATGTAAAGGACAACCCTGTAATGCTTTATATGAAAGGAGTGCCTGAGGTTCCCCAATGTGGATTCAGCTCACTTGCAGTAAGAGTGTTAAAACAATATGGTAAGTCTTGAAATGCTTTGTATTCTAACTATCTTTCATCCCTTGGTTTAGTTCACCAAAGTCAAATTTATGAAATAAGAACAAAAGATAACTAAACTAAACCGTAGTGATGTTCACGGTCTTCAAATTGTTCATATTTGTCATCACAGTGGAGAGGCCTTTAGCTAAAGATAGACATCTAATGGCTTGACAGTTTTGAACAAATACTCACAAGCTGATATGATGATTGTTGCATAAAAAGTCGGTTTCGTCTAAACGAAACTTAGAAATTCAGAATTTTGATCAACTTTGAAGAAATTGGTCATATGTTCCTGGCTGTAGACAAACCTTACTCGATTGAACCAGTTAAAAATCTTTAGTTGTTCTTTGTTGTTACAGCAGCTTGTTGACTTATTATAATGAATGTGCATTGCTGCTAATGATCTTATTATGATAATCTTTATCCATACAGATGTTCCTTTGAGTGCTAGGAATATTTTGGAAGATCCTGAGCTCAAAACTGCTGTAAAAGCCTTTAGGTAAGGGTCCATTCTATGAAATTTTTGTTTTTAGCTTTAAGTTTTGGTTTTTTTGGTTACAGATGAAGAGGAAAGATAAGAATTAAATGAGGAGGTAGACAAGAAAGGAGAGAAGTGGGGGAGACATGAAAGAAAATTTATAAAACTAATAGTTAAAAAGACAAAAACTGTTTCTAGTTTCTCTTCTCACTTTGCTCTCCTTTTCCCTGCACTATCTTTATTTAAAATAAAAAAACAAAACCATTATGAAACTGGTTCTAAGTTCATTCATTTCAGCATTTTCCTGCTTTGTTTTAAATTCCTTAGGCTAGCCGAACCTTTTAGAAAAGTACAGAAGGTAAATAAACTTTTTCGTAAAAATTCATCCTTGTTTTTTTTCTTCATTAAAAACGAAAAGAAATCATGGTTGGATAATACAGAGTCTATTCTAGGTTTCATCAGGAAAGTTCCCTTATTTTTAGATTGAGACAATCTGTTATTTCAATTACCATTCGTATATGTTAAATTATATGCAGTCCTTATCTTGCCTTGATTTAATATTTGGTGTGCCTTCTATGTCAAACATCAATGGTCTTGATTATGTTTATGATGCATGTTGATTATCTGATGACATTATCCATAGTCTTGGAATTTTGTACTCTGCTGTTAATGCATCGTTCCGTGGTTGTCCAGAGACAAGGCTGTTGGTTATGATAAACTTAATCAGAAATCCTTTTGGCCTCATAAATTTTTATATTATTGATTCAGAGTGCACATACTTATGCCTGGTAAACTTGTTTTCTCAATCTTGTTTTTTTCCTATGCAGCCACTGGCCAACATTTCCACAGATATTTATCAAGGGGGAGTTCATTGGAGGGTCAGACATAATTCTCAATATGCACCAGGTTAGTGCTTATAACATTAGTACTTTATTATTGTATTTTAAATTTAAAGCTTTGCATTGCTCTGATACTATGATCTATCCTGTGTAGTCTGGTGAGCTCAAGGAAAGCTCAAGGATATTGCAGTCAATCAAGAGAAGTCTGCATAAGATAAATTATGAGAGGGTAGGTTAAATGTTATCTGTGTAATCTTTTGTTGATAAAAGATGACTAGATATGTGGTTATCCTTGTTTCCTTCAAAGTTGATAAACCAAATTTGCAATAAATGTCAGCTTAATATTCTCTTTTCATCTTCAACCTTCATGAAATATGTCAAGTGTTCATGTGGGCTTCCATTTACTATTTCACCTAGTGTGCACAGAGTGGACCTCTGAGGAAACATACAGTTTGGGCCAATGACTTTTCAATGGAGCCAAATTTAGGAGTCTTGAAAAGCCTTAAAATTACAACATTGCCACCGAAGTTTGCGTCTCTGAAAGGAAACCTCTTTCAAGGAATCACTTAAATAAAATTACAACATTGCCACCGAACTGGTCCTATTTGGTATTTTCCCTTTAATTTGTAGGTGGTTGTGTTTATATATAAAATCAAGGCTAGAAACGGGGTTCGTTATAAATATCTATTAAAGGAAACCTCTTTCAAGGAATCACTTAAATAAAATTTCAGTTTTTATTTATAGGACTTCAGGTTCTGATTTGAATTTCATACAGAATTGCATGTTAACGTAATTCATGAAACGAAAAAAATTGAACAGTATTTATGCATCTCTTATGCAATGGACTACTTTAAAAAAACATTTTAAAGTTAATAATCATATTTTTGTATTTAGCACATGCAAGTGATGTCAAGTATGTAGATGGTGGCAACGGAGTCTAGTCCAGTAAAAAGAGCCTTAACGTGTAGACAAGTGGTCTCAGAGTTCGAATTTTTATGGCACTTTGGTAGTGTGTAGGTCTGTAAAAAATGGCTCAAGTCCAATGGGCTAGCTCGAATTCAGCTCTATTGTAGAAGGGAAATGCTAGCAACATTTTCTCTAACCTTTTTCTTTAGACCTTCTCCCTTCTCCTCTTGACATATGTCATTATCTTTACACTTCAAACAATGTCATTAATGAATCATACAAGCTAAGTTTTGTTTCCAAATTTACCCTTATTAAATATATTGACTTTTTTACAAGGGTAATTTTTTTAAAACTTTCTTACCACATTGTTATAACAAATGTTTTTTAATTAACTATTGTGAATTACTATGAATCTGTTGTTGCTAATAAAATATTTTATCACTTTATATTTTAAAAATGTATTTTTTATTTTCAATGGATTTTGGTATTATTGATATTTATCTTTTACTATTATGCTTTTTTTTTTTGCTTATCTTAACATTTAAATACCTGAAAATAATAACTACAACATATCTTTTCGTCAAATTACTATAAATTTGTTATCATGGAAGTGACATCATTTTGTTGTGGAAAAAAAAAACTCTTTGAAAAAAAAAACTTTTTAGAATGAAAAGGGCAATTTTTATTATTTAATTTTTTTTTAATAAGGTGGTAACAAAATTGTAAAAAAATGAATGCATTTAATAAGGATAAGACTTGGAAAACAAAAATTAGCTTGTGAGATGCATTAATGACGTTGTTTTTAGTATACGGAAGTGACACATGTAATAAAGAAAATGGAGAAGGTCCAAAGGAAAAGATTAAAGAGAAAGTTACTAGCATTCCTTAGTGTGGAAAGGATAGGGCATGGGCATTGCTTGTATTTTTCATTTCTTAAGTATGTGGATGGCATGGGATGGAAAGAACATTAGATTGGGCAAAAATGGACCAAACAAGAAATATTCAAACCAATCACTCATTGACTAGATCCTCCGAATGGGCATAGTAACCTGTCATGTTTCAGTATTTAAGGGCTTCGGCCATAGCTTGAAAGTGTCAACTTCCTTTTCTGTCCAATCAAGTAGCTGTAGGCTCAATAGTTACACGATTAGGTTGTACCTGTCTTGCAAATGCAACAAATCTCACCACCCAAAACACAAGTTGGCAATATTTTTTTTTTCTTTTTGGGTTGTCATTGACATATCATAATGCCATACAAGTCAAATTTCAATCTAAAAAAAAATGGAATATGGAAAATTACAGAACCATATACATGAATGATTATACATCAAATATTCATCTTCCAGGGAATACCGCTTTTTATGTTTTTCTTGGGTTTGAAGGTAATCTATTGTATATAACAATAGTTCCAAATTCGAGAAATAAATGTTCGTACTCTTGTACTTAAAATAATTAACAGCATTTGAGCTCCTAGATTCGATTACGCAATTCTATATTGGATTATATTAGTACAACTAGGACGCTTAAAAGAATGAGCTTAGAGGACGTGGACCCCAAGACTCGAAAATAATCTGAGGCACCTTACATTATTAAGCATGCTTGGTGAATAAAAATAGAAATAAAAACGAAGGGAGCATTGTCAAGTTGCAGCCTCTGCTTAAGGATTCAAATTCAACACATCATGTCTGCCCAAACCAGAACAACCAAAGGGCCCAAAGGGGACCAAGCATGTGGGGAAGGAAGGGAGAGAAAGCCAACGCGTCACGAGTCTCACCACACAACGGAATTGAAAACATCAATGTCACGTATTTTCCCATGCCTTGAAGAAATCAACTCATAGGGCTGGGCTTGTGTCCGTTTCTTTACCACATTTCACTTCTTGAATTGGATTGGCAAGATCAAGTTCATGGTAAGATGGGACCCGCACTCTTCTTAATTTCATCAATCTCTTGTGTTTTCCAACTCAAATGTCGATCTTAAATTTCCAAAATAAAACAAGTGGACGACATGCCATTTCAACCAACGGCCGAGATCGAGTTGCTCGCGTGAGATGCACTCTGGTCGGGTCCGCGTCGCGGAAGCTTAGCGCCAATGCTACGTTTTGCGATCTTGTCAACTCTTCGTCAATGCCCTTCATCCAATTGCGTAGCACTACATGGCTCATTGTCACACCATGCAAGTGATGCATCTGCGTGTTCGGGTTGTCCATTCCACCAGATGGACGTCTGCAATCGTGCCACGTGTCAGTCTTATTAAATTTTTTATTTTTTCAGTTTTAAAATTTCAAAATTCCACCAAAATATCTTTGATATCAGAAAAATACTACAAACTACGAATCGCCTCTATTAATTTAAAATAATCCCAAACTAATTCAACTTAATCTCCAAATTCTTCATTATCATCAAAATTGAGTTTCCACACTTGTCTCCGGCATCATTTTTTTTTTGGTTATGTCTACTAGCACATAAATTATGTATATTAATTTATCTAAGTATTTTTTTTTATATTAATAATTATGTACTTCCTTTTTCTTTTAACAATATTGTACTTTCTTCCTTTATGGTAGAGTATGATTAATGTACCTACACAAAATTTATTTTCTGAATAATGTAACTGGTATGAATGATATATTTGCATATTAGGTAGTCACTTGGTGTCGCTCTCTCGTACGCGAGGAGAGGCAAAACGATTAGGGGTTTGCACGAATCCTCCCCTTTTTTCCACTCTCTGTAGTTGGTGTTAGCTCTTGGGTCTGGTTGCAGTCTACAGTGTGGGTATGTCATCAGTGCCATCTTCTCGATGTGGGTGTGGTCTCCTGCATGGATGTCTTCTTCTTTGATGGAAAGGCTTTTGATGCGAGTTGCCGGTGGTGCAGGCTGTGGGTACAAAGTGTTGAAGTTGTCAAAGATCCTAGTTGATAAGGTTCCTTTGTTTTAGGGGCTTATTCCCTGAACGTGCTAATAACCCTCCTATACTTGAGGGACAAGTTTGTTATTTTGTTTTGAGTTAGTAAATTACCACGACTCTAAGTTGTTGTAGTCGTGGGGTGTTATTTCACTTTCCTGTTATTGTAAGGCTATTTAATAGTCAGTTATTGTCTTTCAATTCAATAAGGATGCTTATGAGTTTTCAGTGCAATATACCCTGTGTTCACAAAACCTCTCGATAATCTAGTTAGTTTCAACATTTGGTACCAGAGCAACATCACGGGGCCTGACCAAAAAAAACCTGCAAACACTGTTGCTTGTGTGAAAGAACAAGAACATGACATCCGAGAATGGCTTTGTGCAACCTGCCATCCCGAGACTCGATGGGCACTACGATCACTGGAGCATGCTTATGGAAAACTTTCTACGTTCCAAGGAGTATTGGAACCTGGTGGAGACAGGGATCCCTGCAGCCGCAGGAGGAGCTGACTCCAGTGATGCGCAGAAGAAGGCACTGGAGGAGCTGAAGCTGAAAGACTTGAAGGCCAAGAACTATTTGTTTCAGGCCATTGATCGTTCAACCCTGGAAACGATCTTAAAAAAGGACACGGCGAAGGACATATGGGATTCTTTAAAGCAGAAGTATAAAGGAACTGCACGTGTGAAGCGTGCTCAGTTGCAAGCACTTCGAAAGGAGTTCGAAGTATTGCATATGAAGGCTGGAGAAACTGTCAATGACTATTTTGGGAGGACACTCACCATAGCCAATAAGATGAGGGTGCATGGAGACAGAATGGAAGATATAGTGATCATTGAGAAAATTTTGAGGTCTATGACTTCAAAATTTGATTATGTTGTCTGTTCGATTGAGGAGTCGAATGACTTGGATACTCTATCTATTGATGAACTTCAGAGCAGTTTGCTTGTGCATGAACAAAGGATGGGTCGACATGTGATGGACGAACAAGCTCTCCAAGTTACCGTTGGAGTCCAACAAGGAGGAAGAAGTGGTGGTCGTGGCTCCTATCGAGGAAGAGGAAGAGGAAGGGGTAGATTTGGGTTCGACAAATCTATCCTAGAATGCTACAACTGTCACGAGCTAGGACACTTTCAGTGGGAATGTCCTAAGAAGGCTATGGACTCAAAGGCCAATTTCGCAGAAACAAATGAAGAAATGCTGCTAATGGCGCTGGTGAATGCAAAGGAAGCTGAGATGGAACATATTTGGTTTCTTGACTCAGGTTGTAGCAACCATATGTGTGGCAAGAAGGAAGCATTTGTTGAAATAGATGCCAATTTCCGAGAGTCAGTCAAGCTGGGAAACAACTTCAGTCTTAGTGTGCATGGCAAAGGCAAAGTACGAATGGAGGTGCATGGGATTGTGCATGTGATTACAGATGTGTTCTTTGTACCTGAATTAAAGACTAACTTGCTGAGTATCGGTCAACTACAAGAGAGGGGACTTGCAGTGCTAATTCAACATGGAAAGTGTAAGATCTTTCACCCTGAGAAAGGTCTCATTCTTGAAACAGAGATGACACACAACAGAATGTTTGCCTTGGTTGCACACTGTCCGGCAAAGGAACAAAGCTGTCTCTCCATGACAACCCACAGATCAAGCTTATCGCTGGCATTGTCGATATGGACATCTAAGTTGGAACGGATTGAAGGTGCTACAACAAAAGAATATGGTTGAGGGGCTGCCAAAGCTCAAAGCTTCTCAGAACGTGTGTGAAGGCTGCCTTGTTGGGAAGCAGCATCGTGACTCTTTTCCTAGGGAAAGTGAATGGAGAGCCTCAAAGATCCTTCAAATGATACACGCTGACATTTGTGGTCCCATAAACCCAATCTCAAATAGTAAGAAGAGATATTTCATCACTTTTACTGATGATTATAGTAGAAGAACTTGGGTTTACTTTCTGGTGGAGAAATCAGAAGCCTTCACTGTGTTCAAAATGTATAAAGCCAAAGTGGAGAAGGAAACAGGAGCATTCATAAGAGGCTTGAGGACGGATCGAGGAGGTGAGTTCACATCACATGAATTCACAGATTTCTGCAATGAGAATGGCATTCATAGGCAGTTGACAGCTGCCTACACGCCTCAGCAGAACGGGGTTGCTGAACGGAAGAATCGAACCATCATGAATATGGTTCGATGTATGCTGTCAGAGAAGCAGATTCCAAAGACCTTCTGGCCTGAAGCAGTGAATTGGGCAGTTCACGTGCTGAATCGAAGTCCAACCCTTGCAGTAAAAAGTAAAACACCTGAGGAAGCATGGAGTGGGGCGCAAACCATCAGTGGAGCACTTTCGGGGTCTTTGGTTGCATCTCTCATGCACACGTACCTGATAGCAAAAGATTGAAGCTTGATAACAAAAGCCTCAAATGTATACTGTTGGGGGTAAGTGAGGAGTCCAAAGCCTATAGATTGTTTGATCCTATCTCGAATAAAATCACTATAAGCCGAGATGTAGTGTTTGAGGAAGATCAACAATGGGATTGGGATGACAGTCATGAGCAAGCTATTTTAGCTGACCTTGATGAAGAAACAGGTACTGAAGATAAAGGAAATGAAGAAGAAGATCAAGTGAATGAAGGAGAATCTGATGTGCAAGAGTCAGAGGGTGAGAATTCCCTTGAATCTGAAGATACCACAAATGAAGGCAATACAACTCAAGAGGGAAGAGCTCGAAGGCCACCAATTTGGATGAGAGACTATGACACTGGGTGAAGGTCTCTCTGATGAAGAAGGCATGAACTTGGCTCATCTAGCCTTGTTTACTAATGACGATCCTACTAGCTATTGTGAAGCCGTGAAGAGTGAGAAGTGGAAACAAGCAATGGATAGAGAAATAGAAGCAATAGAAAAGAACAATACATGGGAACTGATTGACTTACCATCAAGGGGAAAAGTTATTGGAGTCAAATGGATTTTCAAGACAAAATTGAATGAAAATGGGGAGGGTGGACAAGTATAAGGCTCGGCTCGTCGCGAAGGGATATTGCCAACAATATGGAGTGGATTATTCTGAAGTATTTGCACCAGTGGCACGAATGGATACAATTCGAGTAGTTATTTCTATTGCTGCACAAAGAAGTTGGAAGATTTATCAACTCGACGTCAAAGCAGCTTTCTTGCATGGAGAGATCAATGAAGAAGTTTTCGTTGAGCAACCACTTGGATATGTACAGAAAGGAAGCGAAGGCAAGGTTTATCGTCTCAAGAAGGCACTATACGGGCTCAAGCAGGCTCCACGAGCATGGTACAGTCGAATAGAGGCATATTTTATCAAGGAGGGCTTCAGCAAATGTCCCTTTGAGCACACATTGTTTATCAAGACAGCCAAAGCAGGTAAAATTTTGATTGTATGCCTATATGTTGATGATCTCATATTCACTGGGAATGATGAGGTGATGTTTGAGCAATTTAAGAGATCCATGATGCTAGAATTTGATATGACTGATCTCGGAAATATGAGATACTTTCTTGGCATTGAAGTAATACAGAAACCAGATGGTATATTTATGTGTCAACGTAAGTATGCACAAGAAGTGTTAGACAGGTTCAACATGGGTCAGTGTAACTCAGTGCATAACCCTATGGTTCCTGGATTCAAACTCACTCGTGATGAAGGGGGAGCCAAAGTAGACAGCACGCTCTATAAGCAAATGGTTGGGAGTCTTATGTACTTAACAGCTACACGACCTGATCTTATGTACACTGTAAGCCTAATCAGCAGGTATATGGAGCATTCTACTGAGACTCATTTGTTGGCAGCTAAAAGAATTTTAAGATACGTGAAGGGAACTATTGATTTCGGGGGTGTTCTACAAGAAGGGAGGAGATGGAGAGCTCATTGGCTATACGGATAGTGACTATGCTGGTGATCAAGATGACAGAAAGAGTACTTCAGGCTATGTATTTATGATGAATTCAGGAGCAGTATCATGGTCATCGAAGAAGCAACCAGTGGTCACTCTCTCTACTACTGAAGCAGAATTCATTGCTGCTGCTTCAAGTACGTGTCAAGTGGTGTGGTTAAGAAGAATTTTGAGTTGCTTGAATTTGAGGCAAACTGGTCCAACAGTGGTTTATTGTGATAACGTCTCAACCATTAAGCTTTCAAAGAATCCAGTAATGCACGGTCGTAGTAAGCATATAGATGTAAGGTTTCATTTTCTTCGAAATCTTGTTAAAGATGAAGTAGTGGAGCTGCTGCAGTGTTCTACTCAGGAGCAGATTGCAGATGTAATGACGAAGCCACTGAAACTTGAAGTTTTTCAGAAGCTGCGAGACTTGATGGGTGTACGTAAATGGCCTGGAATAAACTGAATCTTTAGTATTCAGTTTAAGGGAGGATGTTGAAGTTGTCAAAGATCCTAGTTGATAAGGTTCCTTTGTTTTAGGGGCTTATTCCCTGAACGTGCTAATAACCCTCCTATACTTGAGGGACAAGTTTGTTATTTTGTTTTGAGTTAGTAAATTACCACGACTCTAAGTTGTTGTAGTCGTGGGGTGTTATTTCACTTCCTGTTATTGTAAGGCTATTTAATAGTCAGTTATTGTCTTTCAATTCAATAAGGATGCTTATGAGTTTTCAGTGCAATATACCCTGTGTTCACAAAACCTCTCGATAATCTAGTTAGTTTCAACACAAAGGTGGTTGACATCAAGGGTTTCTTTGGGTCACATGGATCTCTTGCAATCTAGGATCTCTAGTTTCGATCCTCATTTCTCGGTGTTAGGCAAGGTTTTCGACGACTAGGGCTATTGGGTGCCATCTTTTTACCAATCTCTATGGGATCGTTTGGTTATTCTGTGATGGGGATCTCGGATCCAAGTGGTGATAGAGTCCTTAATGACCTTGTGCTCATGGATTTTTCTGGTGATAGTAGAATTTGTATCAAAGATTGTGCTGATAAGGCAAAAGAGACCAACCTAGAGGGGTCGCCCAGGTCTCCCTGATGTGTTCGCTGGAACATTTTGGGCTTGGCATCCGATAAACATCTTACTCTGATGATCCTCCCGATGGAAGTTCGTCATCCTTAGAGGCCAATCTTGGTCTCCCCTGCCTTGTCAGTTAGGAGTCGGGATTAAGAAATAAAGAGATGGCATTTGGTGATGCTGGCTTTATTTTGACGCTTATAGTAAGCTTTTTTGCACTGTACAAAGAATTATGCACTCATAGGAGTTTTTGTCAATAGTTCTCTTCTTATTTTATGGTTTGTTCCTGTATATGGCAATCTTGAAATGAATTTCGATAATGAAATTGGGGATTCTGGATTTATAGATGGATATATTGGGGTGGTGCTGCACGGAAACTGATGAGGATAAGATGACAGAAGGCATTGGAGGAGCCACACCAAAGGAGTCAAGCGAATAGTCTTACCATGGATTCCGAAAAGCTTCAGCAAATCTTTTTTTTTTTTTTTTTTTTTTTTTTTTTTTTTTTTTTTTTTTTTTTTTTTTTTTTTTTTTTTTTTTTTTTTTTTTTTTTTTTTTTTTTTTTTTTTTTTTTTTTTTTTTTTTTTTTTTTTTTTTTTTTTTTTTTTTTTTTTTTTTTTTTTTTTTTTTTTTTTTTTTTTTTTTTTTTTTTTTTTTTTTTTTTTTTTTTTTTTTTTTTTTTTTTTTTTTTTTTTTTTTTTTTTTTTTTTTTTTTTTTTTTTTTTTTTTTTTTTTTTTTTTTTTTTTTTTTTTTTTTTTTTTTTTTTTTTTTTTTTTTTTTTTTTTTTTTTTTTTTTTTTTTTTTTTTTTTTTTTTTTTTTTTTTTTTTTTTTTTTTTTTTTTTTTTTTTTTTTTTTTTTTTGGGGCCCATCTGAACGCATGGCTCGGTCGTTGCGGCCGAGCCGTGCGGCATTAGATAAGCACCGTAGGTTTGGCCGGGATGCGTATGTGTCATTGTTGGAACGGCCGAACCGTACTGAGGGTGGGATCCTGATGGAGACAACGACGCTTGTGATGGTGAAACGGTCGGATCGTTCTGACCGTGTCGTTGTGACGAAGTTACGGATGCCTCGCCTAGGCCAGGATGGGCGTGGACGGCTTAGGCGCGTACTGGGCCCGAATTTCTGGGCCGCGGGATACTTAGGGTTGTTCCACCCCCAATGATACGGCCAAAGCATGGAGTGGGCCGCGCTTGGTTTTTTCTGGGCAGGTGGGTCCAGGATTTACCCGCGTCGGCTGGGATTGCCCCCAACTTTTTCGCTGAGAGTGCGGACCGTAGCCTGACGCCTGGGTGTGGGTAGACGTTACCGGCATCCCCTCCTGGAAAAGCGTCCGCAGTTCTGTAGAGAATTTGTCCATTGCGGCCATAAAGGATGTCTCTATCCTGAAGGCCTGCCTGTCCATTAGATCCACCATGAGGTCTTTCAACAAGTGTCCCACTGGGCGTGCCAAAAGTGTTGGTTCGTCGCAAATCTTGTGGACTGGTGCTCCGGGCCGAGGGGATGTGCGTCAACACGTGACGTCCTCCTTTTGGATGCGGTGCGGTTGTGCGCGGGCGTGCCAGCACGGTCTACCGTGCGTCGAGGTGATGATGAGGTTCGGGTAGAAGAAAGTTTAAATGTTGCGCTTGTTTTGCGTTCGACTCCTAATCAAACGATTGTGGCCGAGTGAGGAACGAATCTCGGCCGTCAGGTTCACGGCCTGAGCTACAAGGCCGTTTAGTGGTGGTGTTGGTGGTGGGTTTTTGGGCGGTGCTCCGGCGCGTTGCTCAGAGAGCGACGGTCGTATGATATATGGGGTGAGTGAGGCGATAACAGAGGTGGTGCTCCGGCGCCTTGAAAATCAAGGGGTCGTATGATATATTGATGAATGGATTTTCCTTACAGTCTACCACTACTCCTAAGAAAGCAAATAAAGGTATTGAAAGTGCATTACAGAAAATATAATTTGCTCCGTGGGAGGCTTTTGGTTTGGTGTTTGGACCCTTTGAATGTAGTCCTGAGCTTAGTATTTATAGGAGTCCCGGAAGGACATTCGAGGCTGACAAGACCTGCGTGGTGGAGCCTGACGGGGCAAGTGGATAGTCAAATCGGCATTTGGGATCGTGAAGCATGGTGGTCTGGGGGTTGAGAAGCATGGTGGAGTCTGATCGGGGCAAGTGGGTAGTCAAATCGGCATTTGGGATCGTGAAGCATGGTGGTGTGACCCCCATAAATCTCGGCCACCGCCCTGATTGTGGGCTCTGAACTCTTGGCCGTGGGAACGCATTTAATGCTCTGGTCCAGTGGTTGGTGATCTGACCTCAAGCTATGAGAATGCTTTGTGAGAATGTTTGCGCCTAACCACTCTTATTCCTGTTACCAAATCCTGACTTCAATTACTTCCCTTCTGCCCTCGTGCATTAAATGCTTCTTGCACCCAGTGGTTTTGCTGTGGCGGTCAGAGGCACTACTTCATTAAATGGGGCGTGGGACCCTGAGGCCACGTGGCGATTTGACCATAGTATCTTTGGCTGTGTCTCTCATGGACCTCGGCCTCAGCCCATAATGCCGTGGTTGTGAGGCCGAGAAGATCCTGCCTTCGTATTTTCTTCTGCTTTCGAAAAGGCTAAATGTCTGACGAAACGTGGCTGTTTTCAGTCCATGAACAGGTGCCATGGCCGAGAAGAGGTCCCTTCTGACGATCGTGATTTATTTAGGCACGAACACACTTGGAACTTGAGGTGCTTCTTCATTGTCTTGGCAACCAGTTGGTAATGGACACCCGCTAAGATCGGGGTTGCCCTTATAAATTGAGGGGTCAACAAAGGTCTGAAACTGGTTACTTGTTGGAATTTCCCGGACAAGTTATTGTATGACAGATTCAAATGATTCAAAAATGTCAAATTAACCATGCTCTGTGGAATTGAACCTGAAAGTTTGTTCAATGATAGATCAAGAGTTTCTATAGACTTCAAGTTTCCGATATTTGCTGGGATATTTCCTGTCAAATGATTCATGGAAAAATTTAAGGTGCCCAAGTTTATAAGGCTTGTTAGGCCCATAGGTATCTCTCCTGACAATTTATTGTCCGAGAGATCAACGCTAGTAACAAGGTAAATGATCATGGAGTCATAATCATATACAAACACTCTTCCTTTTGACACCAATTCAAATCTTCCCAAGTAACCATAGAAACCTTCATCAGTGAACTCAGATTCCAAGTAACTCAAATTACCTATGCAGTGGGGAATATTTCCGGAAAGATTGTTGTGTGAGAAGTCCAATATATGGAGAGCGGAAAGGCCACATAAACTTAAAGGGATGCTTCCTGTAAATGAGTTGGACCTCAAGCTTAGAATCTGTAAATTGGGCATGCTTTCTCCGATGGAAGCCAGAATCGGTCCAGAAAACTTGTTATCACCAAGATCAAGAATAATCAGGTAAGTGCATTTTTCAAGAAAGAAACTTCACCTGAAAAGTTGTTGCTGGAGAGGCCCAAGAACTTGAGTGAAGTAAGAGAGCCTAAAGATATTGGGATTGTGCCAAAGAGACTGTTGTTTGACAAGTCTATACCACCCAATGATGGCATATTGTTCCAAAAATGAGGAATCTCACCAGACAAGAGGTTATTTGAGATCAATATGAATTGCAATTGGCTTAAATTACCCAAGAACAGGGGAATGCTTCCACTCAAAGAGTTCGTAGAAATGTCTAGACATGTCAAATTGGGCATCACTTGACCAATGTTATGAGGAATTGGCCCTGAAAATATATTATCTCTAAGATAAAGAAGGGAAATGTTTGAGGACCAGAGTGGGAGTGGGCCCTCATAGCGGTTTGAAGTCAAATCAACAGTGGAACCGTAACTGAATCTTAATGAATTGGGCACCTTGCCGCTTAATTGATTATCAGCGAAATTTAGTTCATCTAATTGCAAATCCAACTGCAAAAACCAATCTGGTATGGTGCCTGAAATACTAGCATTACGGAGTACCACCGTGGTCAACTCGGTCTGATTTCTAAGCCACGTAGGAAATTTGGGACCCAGTTGCCATGATCTAATGTACAAGTATATTAATTTGAAAGGAGGTATCCAATTAGAACTTACGTTGAAAACCAAGGAAATGTTTGGGGGATAATTTCCAATTGATACTTCTCTTAGGCCTCCAAGTTTCGCGAAATGAGCTTCTGTAATGGCACCTTCCCATGTGTTGCCATAGATATCAAGTGAAACCAGCGATGAGAGCTCCCCAAGACTTTTTGGGATGATCCCACTCATTTGATTATGTTCAAGGTTAAACTCCTCCAAAGATGTTAAATTTCCAATCGATTTGGGATTGAACCCTCAAGTGAGTTATCCGACAATTCAAGGTATCTCAAGCTTTTAAGATATCCCAAAGAATCAGGCAATTTTCTTGTCAGACTGTTATCTGCGAAATCCAAATTCTCTAGTTTAGTGAGATTGAACAACCAAGGAGGTATCGTGGAGGGTGAATTTATTGCCAGAGAGATCAAGAATTGAAAGGGATGTGAAATTGATGTAAGGAAGAGTGAGAGGAAGCATGGGAAGACCACAAGAGGGCAAATGCAATTCAACAAGTGAAGGGAGCATATTAACAGCATGAAGCCAATAGGATGTAGTCTTAGTAAGGTTCACTGCTTCCAAGTTAAGGTACTTTAAGGAAGAAAGAGTTGCAACCCACTGAAGGTCAGTCTCAAGAGTTCCAAAACTCTTAAGATCAAGATAAAGCAACCTTGAGAGGTTTCCAAGATTGGGGGGAATGACTCCAACAAAATATAAACCAGAGAGATTGAGGTATTTCAGTTTCTCTGGTGATCCAATGAAACTTGGAAAGACACCTCCGAAGTCATTCATGCTCAAATCCAAGTAATCCAAATCTTTCAAAACAAGCAAAGAAAGGTTGATCTCACCACCAAATGCATGCTCTGTTGTTCCGTAATTAAAAAAAAATCGTGATACCAATCACGATTGCGAAGATCGAGCCTGTTGACACACTACTACAAAAAGTGAAAAAGACGAACAGAAAAAACACGACGGTCTAAGTGAAAACCGTCGTTGTTTTTTAAAAGACGACGGTTTTATAAAACCGCCGTGTAATAACACATTAGACAACTAAAAAATGGAGTTTCAAATGGCTGTTCCAAAAACACAACGTACTTAATTAAAAAACCGACGTCTTATTGAAATAGGATTTCAAGAGGTAAAATCATAGCCAACAAATAACGGCGGAAGTTATGAACCAACCGACGTAGAAAGTAAAGACGACGGTTTCAAAAAAAGCCGTTGTTTTTACCCAGAAATTAACACGACCAAGTTTTCGTATAAGGCGACGTATAATTACAAATAAATCCACGGCGGTAAAATACAAAATACCGCCGTATTAAATTAATGTACAACTACGGCAAAGGTAAATATAACGACGTCTTTCTCGTATTTCTACGACGACATCTTTAAATCTTACCAAGTTGGGGTTTTCATATAACGACGTATTATAGAATTTAACGTCGTATTTGTCCACTTTATACGTCATAAATTATATTTAAACCGTCGTCTGAATAAGAATTTTTTTTAACAATTTATTTCTTCGATTTTGTTATCCTACGTCGGTAGATCTACCTAACGACAAGAATTGAAATAACCACGACGGTTTATATAGAAAACCGCCGACATAATCAGATTATTCTGAGATCACAAGGGTTAGGAAATCTTACAAGATGGAACTCTGTTGCTCATCATAATCTTACCAGAAAGACAATATTTTAGAGGTTAATGATGTATGTGTATTTGTGTCTTTGAGATACACAAACGCACATACACATTAACATCCAAAAAATTGCTTCTGAAATTTGACGACGGCAGCCTCAGATTTGCAATCAGAGAGACAATTTTTTGGAAGTTGATGATATGTGTGCGTTTGTGTATCTACACAAACGCACGCACACATCAACATCCAAACAATTGCCTCCTAAAATTTCACGACGGCAGCCACAGATTTGCAATCAGAGAGACAAATTTTTGGAAGTGAATGATGTATGTGCGTTTGTGTATCTACACAAACGCACATACACATTCACATCCAAACAATCGCCTCCTAAAACTTCACGACGGCAGCCACAGATTTGCAATCAGAGAGACAATTTATTGAAAATTGGTGATTTGCAATCAGCCACAGATAACCAACATTCAAACAATTGCCTCCCAAGAGATGAGGTGAGACAGAGAAAGGGGCAAGAAGAAGTTGAAACCCTAATCGAATACTAAAACTGAAAGAACCCGTGGAAAAAAACCCTATTTATAATTAAAAAACCAAATCCACGTCGGTTATATTACACATAACGACGTTTAACAAAAACAATCCTCGTCGGTAACAAATACATTACGTCGTTTTATTCTTACTTAAGACGACAAGAAACGACGACGGTATAACAAAAAAACAGTCGTTGTTTTATATTTTTATTTGATTTAAATCAGTCACCTAGAAAAGAAACTTTACAAATTCTAGAACATTAATTTCCTCGGGAAAAAAAACTATATCTATAAGGCACTGTTTTTGAAAAATAAACTATAAGAAAAAGGGGAAAAAAATTATATTTATAATAAAAAAATAAAATCCACGTCGGTTATATTACACATAACGACGTTTAAAAACGAATCCACGTCGTGGAAAAAATAATACGTCGTTTTAGTTTAGTGTTATCCACGTCGGTATATTACAATAAAACGACGTATATTATGAAAATAAACGTCGTAAATTTAAACAACCGTCGTGTTAAATATTTCTACCATGACGCGAGATATTGAGTTATCGACTTTTATTTTTTTTTTTTTTTTTTTTTTTTTTTTTTTTTTTTTTTTTTTTTTTTTTTTTTTTTTTTTTTTTTTTTTTTTTTTTTTTTTTTTTTTTTTTTTTTTTTTTTTTTTTTTTTTTTTTTTTTTTTTTTTTTTTTTTTTTTTTTTTTTTTTTTTTTTTTTTTTTTTTTTTTTTTTTTTTTTTTTTTTTTTTTTTTTTTTTTTTTTTTTTTTTTTTTTTTTTTTTTTTTTTTTTTTTTTTTTTTTTTTTTTTTTTTTTTTTTTTTTTTTTTTTTTTTTTTTTTTTTTTTTTTTTTTTTTTTTTTTTTTTTTTTTTTTTTTTTTTTTTTTTTTTTTTTTTTTTTTTTTTTTTTTTTTTTTTTTTTTTTTTTTTTTTTTTTTTTTTTTTTTTTAAAAGGCATGGAACCCTCTGCGGGCCGTTCTGCCGACCTTTGTGTAATGCAGCTTGGTATGAAGTCCCAACGTGCCGATGGCCGTGCAAACGACCAGGTGCGTAGAGTGATATAGCGTGGGTGTCAATCCGGTCCTACGGGTCCTCAGGACCCCACGCTACTGTCCATTTTAATGAAGTAATGCCCTCCTTCGCATCAAAACCCACTATCACAAGAAGCATTCATGCATGAGGAAGTGACTGAAGTCAGATTTGGGTGATGGGAATCAGGGTGGTTAGGCGCAGACATTCTCACAAGTAATCTTACGACTTAGGGTCAATCACCAACCACCAACCAGGGCATTAATTGCGTTCCCATGGCCTAGGGGGCAGAACCCACGATCGGGCAGAACCCACGATCAGGGCGGTGGCCGAGATTTGCCGAGATTTATGGGGGTCACACCACCATGCTTCTCAACCCTAGACCACCATGCTTCACGATCCCAAATGCCGATTTTGACTACCCACGCAGGTCTTGTCACCTCGAATGTCCTCTAGGACTCCTATAAATGCTAATCTCAGACTATATTCAAAGGGTTCAAACACTAAAACCAAAAGCGTCCCACGAAGCAAATTATATTTTTCTGTAATGCACTTTCAATACCTTTATTTGCTTTCTTAGGAGTAGTGGTAGATTGTAAGGGAAATCCATTCATCAATATATCATACGACCCTTGATTTTCAAGGCGCCGGAGCACCATCTCTGTTATCGCCTCACTCACCCCATATATCATACGACCGTCGCTCTCTGAGCAACGCGTTGGAGCACCGCCTAAAACCCACCACCAACACCACCACTAAACGGCCTTGTAGCTCAGGCCGTGAACCTGACGGCCGAGATTCGTTCCTCACTCGCCACAATCGTTCGCGTTGGAGCACCGCCTAAAACCCACCACCAACACCACCACTAAACGGTCTTGTAGCTCAGGCCGTGAACCTGACGGCCGAGATTCGTTCCTCACTCGGCCCACAATCGTTTGATTAGGAGTCGAACGCAAAACAGGCGCAACATTTAAACCATCTTCTACCCGAACCTCATCATCATCTCGACGCACGGTAGACCGTGCTGGCACGCCCACGCACAACCGCACTGCATCCAAAAGGAGGACGTCACATGTTTGACGTACATCCCCTCGGCCCGGAGCACCAGGCCGCGAGATTTACGAAGGACCAACAACTCCTGCCTGATTGCTTGAGCCCACCTTTGGCCTCTGAGGCAGGGCCAGAACTTGATCAGCCACAACCTCTAGCACACTATAATTCCTCTACATCTCTCTATACTCAGCCTCCCGAGAATCCATTGATGGCTCCCCCCCCTCTCACCCTCGAGCCCTACCATCCTACTCTCTATCACACCCTTCTACCACATACTCTGACTGGAAACTTTCACCTTTAGAACATACATACAGGCTCGGCTCATCACTTTCGGTATCTTCCCGCCAAAGGCAGGGGGGTCCTGACTTTCTCCCACCTGAACTCTCAGACATCTACAATATGCAGAAACAAGGAAAAAGAACTAATCTACATGCAAGAAGGATCGAAGCACAAAAAAAGCAAAAAAAAAGGATGGCACACATGCTCTTTGCTCTACAAAGGACATTCGACAAATTCATATCCATATTTAACAAGTTCATCCCATTGTTCAACATGTTCATACCAAACATGACATTTTAATCCAAAAATTCAAGAGGAATGAGCTCTTGTGTGTTTTCTTGCTTATCTAATTACATTGTTTGTGTTGGTCTTGAAATTCTAAACACAAATATGATTTTTCCCAAGATTTTAGGTTTTATATGATTTTATAAAAAGGTTTTGAAAGAATAAGAATGTTCTTTATGTTCTTGAGATTTTCATGAAAAGTTCTTGTTGATCCATAGAGAATATTGTCTTTTGATTCATGGAATTGTATGAGATATGATGGTTACATGTTAGTCAAAAACATTTTATGATAGGGCCATAGGGTTGTACCTTGTGTCTCCCATTGCCATTTCATCTTTTGAAATTGGCCAATGAGAATAAAGATGCTTTATGGGTACAATTTGGAATGTCATAACAAATGGGACCCTACACACAAAACCTCCCCTCCCCTTGAAATTTTGGCAGCCACAAAGATGAGACACATTTTGGGTCTTCATGCAATTACATAAAAATGTTGGGTCCAAATTTAAAATGTAGTATTTTCAGTTTTGGCCCATAATATTCCCTTCAAAAACTATCGACGTAATAAGTTTTTTCATAGTGGTAGTTAATTATCGTCATGGTTTGACAATTTCAAACCACGTAAATAAGAATCCATCATCGTCTTATTAATTGCGTGTTGGACACAAACAATTGATCCTTTACTTGAAACAAGGGAACTCTTAGAGCATCTGCAATGGTTGCTCAACAATTCATTTCAGTTTAGTTCAATAGTTTCAACAGTTCATTCAGTTATTGAACTCTTTTGGCAGCTATTGAATTGAAATGCAATTTCACTTGCAGTGTGCATTTCAATAGCTTACAAATTAAAAACTATATTTTTTAAAATATCTTTTTAAATAATAGAATAAAATAAAATAAATAAAGTTAATTACGATGTGAAGAGATCTTTAAAAAGAGACAAATTTTGAACATATAAATTAATAACAAAATTTTCCTTGCTTGGTGACAATATTATATTAACATTTTTTTTCCGAAGAATTGGAAATTGAGAATAAATGAGAACACATTAGAGAACCTCTTTTTCAGCTTATTGCATAACAAAATAGAATATAAATAAGCAAACTAAAAATTAAAAAAAAAGTAAAAGTAATGTTGTCCATGTGTAGAGGTTATAGTCATTACGGTGGGCCAACTTATTAAAATGAATTTCATTTCAGAGTTCATTTTATTGACATGTGAAATGAACTATTGATCCCTGAAATAAAGTATTGATATATGAAATGAACTGAACTTACCACTGCAAGTCAAAAGTTCAATTTATTGAAATAAATTGAAATGACCCTCACCATTGCAAATGCTCTTATAAGAAGTTTATATATGTACTTTATTATGCTGCAATTCTTCAAGCCAAACTTTCTCTATTCTCTAATAAAACAACGGAAATATTAGATTTTGCTCTCAAAAAGACAATTAGTGATGACATTACAACATAAAAAACTCTAAGAACCATAGCCATCATTACAAGATAGACAAACCTTTGGAATCAGGCAGCATAAGAAATGTAAACTATTCAATTCCTATTACAATTGCATGTGTACAAAAAATTGCTCTTTGTTAGTATCTCAGGTAGAGTCTTTTATTCCGAAAGCGTCAGCCAAATTAAAGTTCAAATTGCTTCTCATGGTTCTGCTCTTCCCAAATCCTCCATCACCCTTCCTCATCATTGCAGCAAACTCCCCATAATCAATACGGCCATCCTGCAAAAGTGGTGCAATTAGAGTGCCAAAATTTAGAATAATATCTTTTCTCGATTGATACTTTTGCCTCGGAGAAGAGAATGGTGACTTTAGTCAGTCATATCAAAGGAAAATAAAAACACATACATTGTCCTGATCAATCTCTTTGACAATCTCATCCAGATGAACATCACCCAGACCAAACTCTTTGCAAGCCTGTTGAAGCTCATCAATGGTAATGTACCCACTGGCATCTTTGTCAAAAAAGGAAAAGGCTGCAACTAAATTCTCCTCTCTTTCCATCTTGTTTAAGTGCAAGGTAGCAGCAAGAAATTCACCATAGTCTATTGTTCCACTGTTGTCTATATCCGCCTGCCAACATTGATGAAGTAAAAAGATTTTGTTAGGGGCATCCAAGTCAGTCATGTTAATAGCGTTGGATAAATTATGCAATTTAAATGGAAGAATATTAAAACAATTCTGGACAGTTTATGATGATCTATTAACTGCATCCATAAGAGACTTGATTTCAGATTCCATTAATTCAGAGCCCACTCTTTTCAAGCCCGCTTTAAGTTCCTCAAATGTTATTGTCCCGCTATTATCTGTGTCAATCATTTTGAACAACTCTTTTAGACCACCAATCTCTTCTTCTGACAGTCTTTCAGCTATAACCTGCCCAAGGAAAAAAAGAATGTGACAGTGATCCATATATATACACCAAAATAATTGTCACTGTAAAAGCACTGTCATTAGAAATATCAGAGATAATTGGTCCAAAACTAAATAAGGGCATACACATGGATGCCCTTTGATGCTTGAGTGAAAAATCCAGACATTTTGGTTAGAACTTTACTTAAACCACAATTAATTGATAGATATAAAAATCACATACAGTCTGCCTACTTCACTATAGCCCGAAGTTACATAGAAAAAGAGAGCTCTTACCTAACCTTTATTACAACCAAAACTATTCTCAACAACATGGACTCATCCTCTGAATATATTATAAACAAGTAATAATATACTAAAAAGATGTTTAAAATGAGTAGTCTAAAATGATATTTCTAACCGCATTTTTCATATAATATTGGTACACTACAAAAAAACACTTCTTGACCATTGTCAAGAAAAACAGAGTGAAGATTTCAAAACTAATAACCCTGTGTCTCAGTCTTATCAACCATTACAGTAACCTGAATGTTCTCAACGTGAAATTAACTCCCAGGTCGCACCCACCCATATCATATCAATTTACGTTTCTTGTTATTCAGATGAAAATGATAACTTAATTCAGCATTACTTCGTTCATGCTGTTTTCCAAAAGATTGTACATGCACCCAAGGGGATTTAACCACAGAACTTACACTCCACCCTTGTTCTTACAGGGCAGGAGTACATCAAGACATCAGCACTTCTTTCTTTTCAATGGGATGTTCGGATTGCCGAGCACCTCATCTCTAGAAATAAGACAAGCAAATCACCATTCATCTAATTATTACTTCTCTTGTATATGTAGAACTTTGGATTTCAAATGCTGTACATGTCCGACAATATCATATTCATCTATTATCCTAATTGCATTTCCATGGGGGCCTTACTAATGTCAGGTCTTGTTGACATAGATACGAGTATAATAGGGTGAACCATCGAATTAATGTAAAATCCCTTTGCCCTTTGGTACTTCCAGCAGGCCAGATTGTGTTATTCTCTCATACAAGTTTTTTTTTCTTGGCATAAGCCTCCCACCCTACTAACAAACCTACCCCGAAAAACTTCAGAAGAAGAAAAAAAAAAAAAAAAAAAAAAAAAAAAAACAGGTAAAAAATCTACCTTTGCAAATGCAAATATTCGCTCTAGAAAACATGCAAGCAGCAGTCAGTGGTCTCATGAACATTCCACATTACATTCCGTGTGTGTGTGTGGATGTGTATACTACCCTGAAAGAATTTATTCCATTTCGTTTACCATCAGGTTTTAATTGGAGAAATGTAAATTCTCACGTGAAACGAAAAATTAATTTACCAATTTACTACCAGGTTACTGTTGCAAAATGTGTTTAGAATGATAGATATAGAAAGATGCTAGATGGTAAGAATTTATAAGACATACACGAAGAGCCATCTTTTTAAGTTTATTCATTGCTGAGAACTGCTTGAGGCGAGACAAAACAGCTGAATCTAGCGGTTTGTCTGGGGCAACTCTGTCATCCACAATCCATGGGTGACCTGAAATGAATTCATTTTAGAGTTGAACAAAGCTACCATTTGGATAAGTTGTAACCTGATCTATACAACTATCACATAAAACCTTTTGGCATAGTAGGTATTAGACCACTCACATAGGACTTCATGGGCAGAAATTCTTTGCTTTGGATCCCTCTCAAGCATCTTATACATCAGATCTTTTGCACTTTCTGAAATATTAGGCCAAGGCTCAGATTCAAAATCTATTTTGCCATCTAAAATCTGTCTGAAGATCCCTGCTTCAGTTTCTGTAAATATATGGAGAAAAGTTAATACTCATGTAATGAAAGAACCAAAGACAATAATGGTGTAACTCTCACTGTTAAGGCTACTAGTCCATTGTGTAAGAGATTGTTACTAGTCAGGATCACTACCTGCCCAAAAAGGAGGAACTCCACTTAACAGGATGTAAAGTATCACACCAGCACTCCATACATCCACTTCAGGTCCATAAATCTTGGCTAACACCTCAGGTGCAACATAATAGGGGCTCCCAACTACATCATAAAAAACTTGTCCTGGAGCAGAAAAAGATAGAGCAGTGCACGTAAACAACCATTGTTATGTAGGATGAAACACCATTCAAGCGTGGCATTGATAGTAAACCAGTTAGAAACAGTTAAAATAAAATAAGCTGTATTCTGCCAAAGGCAATATATTCGGAATTTTTGTTTCTACAAACCAGAATGTTTTAGATCCTGAGACTCAGACAATTTTATCAATAGATTGACGATAGCCCACATGAATAATTGAATGTATTGGCATACTAAATAAGATATAGATTCCTTTTAGGACACCAATACCATGATAGATGAGCCATTAATCCCAAACTTAAAGGAAGATCCTAAGGCTTTTAGTTTAAATATAAAAAAAAAAGCACCTCATGACCTGTTTATGGAAGCTCAGAATTCTAGTGTTCTGTGTGCCAACCAAAAAAGACTAACGTACAGAAGGACATGTTGAGTGTACTAACACGATATGGCACCGCGTTCGAAAGGAAAAAAAAAAGTCCAAAAAAGACACTACCAAAAAAAATTCTTCGCACTTGCAAACAGGGGATAGAGAAAAACATAAAGAAAATAGATCCCCGGTCCTCGTATGTGGAGTTTCATACGCATTTAAAATCTTCCCGTATCCAAGACTAAGAAGAGACACAACTTTATAATTCATTGAAAGGAAAACTGTCCTTGTATCTGCCATCAAGGTGACATTTTATTCCCTAGGCAGTGTGGCAAGCACAAATCTATAAGAAGGATGGTTCAGGAAATTCTTTGATTGAAACAAAAGGCTCAAGAAATTCTTCAAACAGAAATGAAATCAAGCAATATTAGTTCAATAAATAATCAGAAATATATATAAAAAGGTCAAAAGCCCAATTTGTAAAATAAGAATTACCCATGAACCCGCCACTCTTGAAATTAATATCAACCAGACCAACATTTCCATTTCAAACAAAAACAAAAACCAAGAAACAATAAAAATGGACCTCGTTAAATTAAATCAAACAACATATCGAAAAATAAGAAAACCCAGAAAGGAACCTGGCTTGTAGAAGACGGACAAGCCGAAATCGGTGGCTTTGAGCATGGCATCATCCGAAGGAGTATCAAACAAGAAATTCTCAGGCTTGAGATCCCTATGCATGACACCAAGAGAGTGGCAGGCCTCAACGACCCCAACAATGGTCTTGATGAGCTTGGCAGCCTCTCTCTCACTGTAATGGCCCTTCTGGACAATCCTATCAAAGAGCTCGCCGCCGGCGCAGAGCTCCATCACCAAGTGAACAAACACAGAGTCCTCGTAGGTGCCTTTGATCTGAACGACGCTGGGGTGCTCGGACAAGTGGTGCATGATCTGAATCTCCCTCCAAACGTCGTCGTAATCCTCGGGGGAGAGGAGCTTACGCTTGGGGATGGACTTGCAGGCGTATTGGTCGCCGGTGGGCTTGTGGGTGCAGAGGTACGTGGTGCCGAATTGGCCTTGCCCGAGCTTCTTGCCCATCAGGTAATGGTCTCTCAGTTTCGGCGTTTCGTACGGTAGCACTGTATGGCTGCTATGGGGCTTCCCCGATTGCGATGAAGCTCCTCTCGGCATCTCTTCAGATTTCTTGTTTCGTTCTTCAGATTTCTGATCCTCTCTCTCTACCTTTCCTTCGCTCTGAAACTGTTATTTCTGTTTCTCTTCTGTTTTGCTCTCTCTCTCTCTCTCTCTCTCTCTCTCTCTTTGTGGATTGTGGTTGGCCACTAACTGAATCTGAGTCTCATTTATTTATTATTTTGTTTTGGTATTTTTCTGATTATTTTAGTTTTATGCGGAAATAAGATTGCAGAGAGGGGCTGGCTGAATGTTCCATAATTCCATTGTTGCTCTACGTCAGCATTTTATCACCACGATAAAGTGGGGGCCACAATCCATTTGGATCATATTTTATCTTGCTTCTTTTGTTGGAATCATGCTGTCCTTGTCACTTTTGGGTTTACAAATATCAAAGTTAGGTCGGAGGAAAATTATTATTATAAAAAATAGAAATTGAAAAACTATAGCATGAAAAAAATTTAGTCTACAATGTTACTTATAAGTGTTGTAAAGATAGTGGGTGGAGCCCACATATTAGATTCTTTGTCAGCCACATCTTGGAGGAATTTTCTGCACACCCACGTAAAGCTTGGCTGCTTCCATTCCATTAGCCTATAAATAGGCCAGCCTCACTACATGCAAAGACACAAAAAACCAACGGAGAAGAGAGCCAGAAAGAAAAGAAGGAAGAAAAAGAGTGAGAGGAGAGAAATGACAGCCTTTCTTCAAGAGAGAAAAATTAGTGAACTAGAGAGATTGTAAACACGGGCCTGTTTGGTATTCAACTTGAATCTAACTTTTTAAACTCAAAAACAGAATTTGAGTCCAAAACAAAGAAAATCTATTTGGTAGCCCTATTTTTAAAAACTCAAACTCAAGAATAACTAAAAAACACACCAATTATTAAAAACAAAAAATATCTGTTTTTTCAGTTTTTTTTTCTAACAACCCACAAGTTCTCAAATTTTTAAGATTTAAAAACAGTTTTCAAGTTGCATACCAAACAAGTTTTTGAATCTTAAAAATAGATTTAAGAACTCATTGTTTTTAAGAAAAATCACAGTTTTTGAGTTCCCTATTTGAATAGGATACCAAACGCCCCCTAAGGTTGTAGTCCTATTATTTTACATAGTGGAAAAGTTACTGTTGTTGTTCTCTGAGGATGCAGGCATGACCGAACCTCGTTAAATATGTGTCTCATTTACTTTACATGCAACTTCAATATTCCCGCATCATGTACCGTTTTCTATTGTCTTCGTTTCATTCATGTTCTCAACTCTTGTCCATCTTCTTTGTATCATTTTCTTGGATTCCCTCATTTTTTTTCCTATCTTTTTCTATCTTCATTTAATTATGATCAGACATCATGGGCATCTCGTTTTGTCATCTTACCATTATTATAAGGAAAAGCCACGCGGGCACGTAGGCCTAAAAAGATCAAAATAAAAAGGAGAAGAACACGCAATAAGAAGGCCATTCTCCCAGCGTTGAGAAGGGGAGAGATTGTGACCTAGATTAGCTAACCATCCGCCAAGAAATTTGCTTCTCTGTAAACATGTTTGCAAGCAACATCATCACAAAGGGAACACATTAGCATGATGTCTTGAATGAGCAACTTGATACTCCAAGGCGAGGCTATTATTCTTTCTAACCAAACACATAATCTCTGTTTGGGCCTAAATTCTGCGAGCCCAACCTATTTATACAGCCCACAAACATGAGCACAGATTGGGCTTGATGTTTAAAAGAAACTGAAGAGCAACCAAAAATAGAAAAAGCCCAGACTAAATTCTCGAATTCTGCGAGCCCAGCCCAGAATTTATCAAGCCCAGGATAATGAACAGTCTTGAGCTTTGAAAGAAAAGGAAAGTAGCCCAATCAACATTAGAGGCCCATGTCTTTTGCAAAAGTGGCAGAAGTTTGAAAAACACAAAAATAATAAGTAAATAAATCATTATATTACCAATTAAATGGTAATTCATCACCAAGCAGGTTGAAAACACCTCTAAGAGATTGGATTAAAGCTCAGCTTCTAAAGAATTCTCGCCACTTGATCTCAAAATCAAGTCAGCAGATCTTTTCTTACTAAAAAAATGTTTTCCCAAAAGAGACCCATATGACTACCTGACTTTGAAAAGTAAAAAATTTCAACTATCACAGAGGAGTTGATAGAGAGTTAATGAAGGCAGGTATAAAAGGAAGACTTCTCTAAATCTTAGCTACCAAAAGATCAAAATCCCTTTATATATATATATATATATATATATATATATATACAGAAAAACTCTACACCAAAGCAAGTGACCTTTCCAAGAGATAAGCAGACTACGATCTCAAGAGATAAGTAGGAAGCAAGGGAGTTGTTCAGACAAGAAAAGCAAATTGACCATCATGGCAGATTGTGTTCTTTCTTTTTACAAGGAACAAACAGAAACAAAAAGAGTCGGTCTTTCTTTCAGAAAAAGCAAAGAAAAGACCACCATGGGAATTGATCATTGATGGTTCTTCTCTGCCATAATAGATAGCTTCCCCCTTTTTTGGCATTTAAAAAAGAAAGATCTTTGAAGGATTTGCCGCCCATTATTCAAATATTAAAAACCCCACTCCAGGATTTCCTATAAAATAAGAGAGAGGGTGAACAAATGGAAGACCGCCAAAAAAATCAATCAAGACAAAAACTCTCAAAGTCACAATAAACTCAGCACCACGTGTGCATCCTGGTTTTAGTATTGCTTGACGTTTCCCTATGTTATTGTACCCCGTCGGCGTGGTTGAGCAAAATGGTTTCAGGAAGGGTTGAAAAAAAAATTTGTTGATGTTTTCATATGAAAAACGTATTATACATGTTGGAAATAAATAGTTCGAGAGGAACTTTAACAGGGGTCATGAAATTTTTATGCCGAGGATTGGAGGAAACAAAATTAGAATGGTTGAAATAAGGATTTTAGAAATAAGATAGGATGGCAACAGAGTTTTAAGATTAGAGGAGTTAGTTTTGTTTATTCCAAACCTTCTAGGAAGCTATATTTTCTTTAATTACCTTAGGTAACCAAGTATATTAAGTTTTGTCTTCAGTTAAGTTAGCACGCTTGACTTTTGCCCCACGAGGCTTAGGGACATTCGAACTGTGGGAGCGAGGGGTACAGCTCGGGTGGGCCCAGTATCCGTACTCCTTCAAGTGATATGTATGAAATTTCAAGGATGAAATTTCTATAAAGGGGGTAGATTGTAACAACTCAATCCTTAATTAATTTTTTATTATCATTTTATTGTGAGAAAAGATGATTTTGCCCCTAGAATAAATTATTAGAGAAAAGTTGATTTTTGACCGGGAAAGAATTTGGGAATTTCGATAGCACCATTGCGTAGAGCGCGACGAAACGAGTCCGTAGACACGTAGTGGGCTCGAATCGGAGTTATAATGAAGAAAATACGATCAAAACACGTTGAGGGGCAAAATGGTAATTTGATAGATCTGTTTTTTTTTAAAAAAAAACCCCTCTCATTCCATGCGACAGACTCTCAATTCTCTCTCTCTCTCTCTCTCTCTCTCTCTCCGACGACTCTCACTCTCTCTCTTCGAACCATCGCCTTCGGCCATGGCAGCGCATAGGACCGGTGCCAAAAGGACCAGCTCGACTCCGCCTTCAAACCCGGGCCCTTCCCCAACGCCATCCGCCGCCTGTTTCGTCGAAAAAAGCCTGAGAACGACCAGTTTTCATGAAATCTTGTCAGCCTCGATCTCTCTCCTTTGGTCACCATTTCCGGCAAGCAAGGTATGGAACCTAGTCTAGTCTTCAAGCTCTAGCTGATGGTTGGGTAGGATTTGATCAATTTCTAGTGTTAATAGTTCGATTTTGGGTTCAAATTTGGCCGGATTTCAGGTTGAGATTCCAGCCACTTGCGGCTATTTTCCGGGGTAGGTCCAAGAACAAAAGTGGCTCCAATGGATGTCTTGAACCTAGGGTAGGAAGCTTGGCCCTTGATTTTAAGATTTTTCGGCGAGCGGTATCGCTTTGGATACTCACACACTGCCGGCGCGTGTGGGCAGAATGGGTGAGTTACATTATGTCCTAAAAATGATCCCTTAGTTGTCATGAGCGCGTAGTTGTGCTCGGATCCCATTTTGAACAATGTTTGAACCCCGAACGGATCTCGCATATTATGAGTTATCCGGGTTCGATACATTTGAACCATTGGATCGTAGTCAATCTCATACATGTTGATCTAGACAGTTCCAGGATCGGATAGGATTTGATAGATCGTGGATCGGAGTCTCGGATACTCCGAAAAGGCCAGCCTAGGGCTAGGGTTATAGAGACCGTCAGATCATGCAATTGTGATCAATTCGGCAGTCCGATCGAGACCAAACTCTTGGGACATGTGTCCTAGGCATATTGGAACCTCTAGGAACTCTCGGATGGGAATTTTGAGGTCGTGGACCCCACGAGGTCCTGTGTTGACTTTTTGGGACTTTATCGCTTTTAAGTCCCGAGGTACTTTTAGACTGCTCTAAACCTTGGGAAAGCTACTGTGAGCATAGAAATGACTTTAAAGTTGGTGCACGTACTTCTAGGAACCCAGGGCTAGGGTTTCAGATAAAATAACGTTGATGAGATTTATTGTTTGTGTGTGAGCTTTTAGGAAGTTCATGTACGTGCGAGTGTTCATTGGTTTAATTTTGGCATTAATTTCATGGATTAGATTACCATATCACTTATTATGAAATTATATGACTATGGAGTGAGTAGATATGATTGTATACATATGGATTGCTGAATTATATACATGTATTTATGTTATTTTGTATTTGGAGGTGTATTATAGTATGTGATGGTAAACCTAAAGGGTATTTTTCGATAATTGGAGATTATGTAATATTGAGAATTGATTTATGGAAAATTGAGAAGAGAATATAAGCAAGGTTTGTGAAACAAGGAACTTTGAGATAAGTTTTGGAATATGGTTTTTAAACCCACCTCAGGAGTACCCTCCCCAGTTGCCTTGAGACAGTTTGTTATTTATGATAATGCCCACGAGTTTCGAGGACGCCTGAATCGTGTGGTGCGAGGATTGCGGCTCAAATTGAAATGTTATCTCTGAGACCTGCGAGGAATGCGTCTTGGATGGACTTGGTGTCTTCGGGACCTGTGAGGAATGCGGCTCAGATTGAAGTGTTATCTCTGAGACCTGCGACGAATGCGGCTCGGTTAACTTTATGGTTCCGAGACCTGCGAGGATGGAATTGACGGACTAACATTGAAATTGACGGATTATTATTAGAATTAATGGATATGTGGAATTGACGGTATTAAAGTAATTGATGAATCAGAAATGGGGGTATGCCTAGGTGGAGAGAATTTAAGTTATGAAATGCTTTTAAACTAAATTGGGGATTTTATACAGTTACCATTATTTTCTTAAGCTTCACATTTGTTTTACAAGCGATATATATATATATATATATATATATAGATTCTAACCAAGGGTCTTCAAAGCTTATAAATCTTTAACTTATTTTATTTTATTTTAATATGTTTATTTATCTTTATCTTCTATTATTTTATATAGTATTAAATAGCTTCAGTTTTTCTAGCATATTTTGCCCCACAGGACGTAGAGATGTCCAGATCGTGTGGAGCGAGGATTACAGGTCAGGACGTGTCACCATTGGTACCACGAGAAATTGATGGTTATGGCTTTCCAAGCATGATTACTTGATATAAATGCTTTTATGTCATCAATTGCCATGTGAGAAATGCTAGGAAGCTTGAAACAGAAAGCTGAGAGGAATTATGAGAACTAGAGTGGTTTTGCAACTAAAGAACTACGTGTGGCTTGATCCCTCAATAAGGGTACGTAGGCAGCCTAATGCTACAAGGTGCAGCCACAAGTTGAAGTCTTTGAGATTGCTAATGTACTATGGATATTCTGAAAGTTGGAATGAACTTATTTTGCAAAATGATTTATTTGATTGGTTGAGGCCTGAGGCCAGAATGATATACTGTTGTTTTCTTGGATAAAATTTAATGCATGTTGGCAATTGGGTTATATATATATATATATATATATATATATATATATGCTTGTTTCACAGGTGGAGACTCTGCCGAATTTTAGGCAAAAGTCGGACTTGAATTTCATTTGGATTTGATAAAAAGTGAAATTTGGTCATTTGCGTCGACATTTTAGTTCAGTTCAGAGAAACAGTTTTATAAAGCGAGATTTCTCACGTTACAAATTTGGTTCAGCACAAAGCCAAGTCAAGCAGAGTCCGGGTTTTTACAAATATGAAAACCTCCGCAAATTTACAGAAAAACCTTGGTCAACCAGAACAGGCACCATAGCGCAGCTCCAACTCAGTGATCATCAATCCAGCCACTTTTGCCCTTTCCAGACTGAAGAGGCCTTAATTCTGACCATTCAGCAAGCCTTCCATGGCCTGAAATAAATTAAAGTTCTGCCATACTCAAATGTTGGTATCGATTTTCAGCTGAAACTCATTAGTTGAAGGTGTTGACGATCCAATCCAGCACAGACACATCCCAATCTAGCCTGGTTTAGAGGCAGTTATCCAGGCAGAAATCGAAGTCCAACATCCTGTTGTCTTGCTTCGGAGTTGTCATTTCATTTTTTGACTCCTGTAATAGGAAATTCTGCCTAAAACAGTTTGTCTTCTTTTTGTCAATTCTAGCCAGAATTACCCATTTTGTACTGTGAAAAATTATGAAGTCCTCACCAGTTTGAGGCAAACAAAATAACTTACTTGGGAGATATTCCTCACCAAAATTCACAATTGCTTGTTCAAAAGTTAGTAACTTGGGGCTCAAGTTATCTATCTTTTAGAAGTCTGCTAGGGTTTTAAACTACTAGCAGTGGCACGCTCACGCACAAAAGAAAGTTGACTTGTTGACCAGGACAGGGAGAAATCCAAGCTGGACAGAGGAGTGGAGCCCTTCTCATCCAAGAACACGAAGCTCCAATTATTCCAGAAGGCCCTGCACTAGTTCAGGCCACCTAGAACCAGCCAGAACCTCCACCTATTCCACGACCAGTGGTCCCGCACGATCAGCCCTTAGCACTTATGCCTGAGCAACCAACTGTGTTGCCCTACATACCTAGAAGGATGGACCCCAATCAGTTCCCTCCACTAGCAAGAGGCAGGAGAGGTAGAGGGAGAATAAACCCTTTTGCCAACAATGATAGGAACAGACCGGGGAAAAACTGGAGGAATCATCCAGATTTCGAAGAAGAGGAAGTTCTGCCCAGACCATACAGAGTAGAACAGAGGATTGAACACAACCAGCTAGAATAGGGGCGGAATTCACATCCTATCAATGCCTTGAATGACATGGGAGCACTATAGAGGTCGATAAGAGAGATGATGGAACCTGAGGCCAGAAGAGGAGAAAGGCTCACCTACAGAAAGCCATATCTAGCTTATATCGATCAAATACCTCTATCCGCAGGCTTGAAGGTACCAAACTTCACCTTGTTCAATAGAGATGACACCCATGCTTCATCAGTTGAGCATATAGGTAGATTCTTTGTTCAGTGCATAGCCATAGAAAATAACCCTCTGCTAAAACTAAGGTTTTTGGGAAATTCTCTCTCTGGACAAGCTTTCACCTGGTATACTAGCTTACCAGCCACTTCTGTTCAAACTTGGGAATAGATGGAAAATGTCTTCCATGACTACTACTTTAGAATTCAGCTAGAGGTCACCATCAGTGATCTTGCAGCCCTCAAACAGAGCAAGGATGAGCCTGCACAGAACTTCGTAACTGGGTTCAGGTAGCTGAAGATGAAATGCCGAATACCTATGGAAGAGAGACACTTCATTCAAATGGCTCAAACGGCCCTTAAAATCTCTATGAGGAAGAGATTTGATGAGATGCTGTTTAAAGACCTAGCAGAACTGGCAGATAAAGCATCTGAATACGAGGAGCTGCTTACGGAAGAACAACAGAAAAGGAACTCCTCCAAAGGCACATATTACAAAACCCCATCTTCTTCAGTGCATCTGGTTGAAGTGGAGTTAAAAGAAGGCACATAAGGCTCGGAGGAAAGGGAAGTTGCAGTGACGGAAATGGTGAAATTAAAACATCCCATCAGTTGCAAGACTCTGAAAATACCACCAAAGGACTAGAAGACACTGCCATTTATACAAGGATTTGTTCCAAACAAACCAGCACAGAACAAAGTTTATTCCTTCGATTTAACCAAGGTTGATGCTCTGTTTGATGAGATGCTACTGCAAAAAGCAAAAGAGACACCCAGACTACCAGAGGAGCTCATGGCAGTGCAGATGGCACAACTTTTAGAACCACTCCACCAATAGTTGTGTTGTTTTCAGAGACGTTATACAAGAAGGAATAACAACATGAAGGCTAAAACTGGTTGAGAAACCGCCCTCAGAAACAATATACCCTTTTCCCCAAACAAAAGTGAGGCAAACTCATAACGACGTTAAGAGAAAAACTCATTGCGATGCGATGACTCATGGGCTTTTTCGGGCATCCGACATCGTTTACTAGCTCGAAATCCAGTTCTTACAGTTTTTGGAAACTCTGTTATTTTCCTGTTTTAATTCCGCTGTTAATCCTAGGCTTTCTAGGAGTATTTGAGCACACTTTACCCCGATTGTCACGCTGCGTCACGGGGTCGCGGAGAAACAAAGGCAGCGAGATGAATAAGACGACGGAAAGCAAACGCCCACGACAACCGAAACGTCAAAATAGCAAAAAAGAAGGGATGCAACACGAGGACTTCCCAGGAGGTCACCCATCCTAGTACTACTCTCGCCCAAACTCGCTTAACTTCGGAGTTCTGATGGGATCCGGTGCATGTGAGTTGGTATGATCGCATCCGTTAGCTTATAACGCCTAAGTGTATATAAGCCACGTTTGAGCCGTGCCATATGACCGTGGGTTGGCTTCCACCCCTACCTGGTGCCACGCGCAGGCCTGCCGGGCCGCCGGTTCCGATCGGTTGCGGGGCCCATTGAACAGAAAGGAGGTTAAGAACAACCCCGATACAATAGTTTCGGCAGTGCGTAGGTCTTTTCGTTCCTTTCCGGCGCCTAGTTAGTTGGAGACGAGCTCCGCGGGGTGACGTTTGCACATGGCGGAACCGACTGAAGAGGAGCTGGAGCGACGCGCGTGCAACTGCAAAACCGGCAAATCGCAGATCTGGGCTCCGACCTCATAATTGGGCCCATGAACCCTCGATTTGAAGAGAATGGTTTTTTTTTTTTTTTTTTTTTTTTTTTTTTTTTTTTTTTTTTTTTTTTTTTTTTTTTTTTTTTTTTTTTTTTTTTTTTTTTTTTTTTTTTTTTTTTTTTTTTTTTTTTTTTTTTTTTTTTTTTTTTTTTTTTTTTTTTTTTTTTTTTTTTTTTTTTTTTTTTTTTTTTTTTTTTTTTTTTTTTTTTTTTTTTTTTTTTTTTTTTTTTTTTTTTTTTTTTTTTTTTTTTTTTTTTTTTTTTTTTTTTTTTTTTTTTTTTTTTTTTTTTTTTTTTTTTTTTTTTTTTTTTTTTTTTTTTTTTTTTTTTTTTTTTTTTTTTTTTTTTTTTTTTTTTTTTTTTTTTTTTTTTTTTTTTTTTTTTTTTTTTTTTTTTTTTTTTTTTTTTTTTTAAAAAAGCGTACATGGCAACGTGTTGATGCTTACGTGACCCAATAACTTACATAATTTGTGATGTGATATGTGATCACGATTTAAAACATTGTCTTGGAATGATGAGGTCAAAAGGTTTCTCAGGGCCATTAATTAGCGTCAACAACACTCCACGCTGTTCAACGATCGCAGGTTGTCTTGGACATACTGGATCAATTATCATCTTATTTATTATCTTTAAATTCATATTTCCTATTGTTCCGCTAACAGTGAGGACATAACAAGTAGCAAAAAGGCATTATATGTTATTAGGCATTGATCATAACTGCTTTTGTGCATCGTAGCTAAAACAGATTAGTGTCTTACCTGCCCAAGAATGAATTGTATTAAAGCTTCAAATTTAATACCTTTAAGCACAATTCCTTGAATATTTGGAAAACGAGGATTATCCCATCCATTAACCTTCTCATTTTCAACGAACCACAAAAGCGTGCGCTTACTAAGAAGTGTATAAACCATGTTCAACCAACTAAATTCATATATATGCACTTTTCGCAGTCCCATATCCTCTTCCCATGATGCGGAATTGGATTGCAATGATGATAAACTACGTCCTGAAGAGATTTGTTTGGATCCTACATACCTAGCTTCCCATGGACACAACATTGCAGACTTCTATCATAATCAGCAATAATTTCCTTTCATATTTTTGGATTCTCCTCTACATGGTTGTTTCTACATTTTGATTCAATGACATCCATCATTTCCTTCTGCATCTCCTTACGTGGTGTATCATCAACATATGCTTTACCTTGCTGAATCAAATTCTTAGCCATTCCCATCAACTGAGGGAAGTAATCTGAAGTATAGGTAACCATTTCATATTTGATATCCAAAGTCTAAAGATTGTCCACAAACTCATTGCTCTCTTTAGCAAGATTTGTATCAGCAAATTGCACAATAAGTTGACCCTTATACCTTTGAGAAAAATACAAATCTGAAGTATAGGTAACCATTTCATATTTGATATCCGAAGTCTATAGATTGTCCACAAACTCATTGCTCTCTTTAGCAAGATTTGTATCAGCAAATTGCACAATAAGTTGACCCTTATACCTTTGAGAAAAATACAAATTCAACAAAGCTACTTTTGAGTGCTTAACATGAAGAAAGCCACTAGGTTTAGGCGCAAATCTTAGTCGAACCTTTCCTATCTCAACTTTAGGGAGATATACTTCAAATGTTGGTCTGATTCCTGCTTTACCTTTCTCATATACATCTCTATTTACAGTCTTTTGATTGTTGATTCACTTGAGTGCCTTTTATTTAGTTGATGTTGGATTTCCTAAGCATCTTTTCCTAACGAAGGTAGCTGTGACTTCATTCAGGGCATCATCATATTCCGCTAATAGTACATCGAATAACTGACAAAGGTTTTTGTACTTTTCTGACTTCCACAAACTTCCCCATCTTTGCCCAGTTTTTGCAAACCAGAGAGTTTTAATTAAGGGTATCTAAACAACACTTCCATTTATGTCATATGAATGTTTACATAAAGAAATTTCAGTAATTCATAGTTTGAGATCTATCCTTCAATTTGTAATTCTTCATATAACCATGCCAAATAAAGATAAGAATTAAAGAGGTAAAAAGAGTGAGAGAAGCAAAGCTATACCTAAAAGACTTGACTAGATTTCTATTTCGGCAATAGAGAAAAAGAGTAATTAACGAATAAACTTCAACTTCCCAAATAGTCATCTAAAAATGTTTGCTGGATCAGTTGGGTGTTCAACCTAGAAAGGTTTTTGTACCTTTTTTACTTCGACAAACTTCCCCATCTTTGCCTAGTTTGTGCAAACCATAAGTGTTAATTAAGCGTATCCAAACAACACTTCCATTTATGTAATATCATGTTTACATAAAGAAATTTCAGTAATCCATAGTTTGAGACCTATCATTCAGTTTGTAATTCATCACATAACCACGCCAAATAAAGATAAGAATTCAATAGGTAAAAAGAGTGAGAAAGCAAAGCTATACCTAAAAGACTTAACTAGATTTCTATTTCGGCAATGGAGAAAAAGAGTAATTAACAAATAAACTTCAACTTCCCAAATAGTCATCTAAAAATGTTTGCTGGATCAGTTGGGTGTTCAACCGAGAAAGTTTTTTGTACCTTTTTTACTTCGACAAACTTGCCCATCTTTGCCTAGTTGTGCAAACCATAAAGTGTTAATAAGCGTATCCAAACAACACTTCCATTTATGAAATATGAATGTTTACAAAAGAAATTTCAGTAATCCATAGTTTGAGACCTATCATTCAGTTTGTAATACATCACATAACCACGCCAAATAAAGATAATAATTAAATAGGTAAAAAGAGTGAGAAAAGCAAAGCTATACCTACAAGACCTGACCAGATTTCTATATTGGTAATGGAGAAAAAGAGTAATCAACGAATAAACTTCAACTTCCCAAATAGTCATCCAAAAATGTTTTGCTGGATCGGTTGGGTGTTCAATCGAGAATGTTTTTGTACTTTTTTGACTTCCACAAACTTCCCCATCTTTGCCCAGTTTTTGCAAACCATAAGTGTTAATTAAGCGTATCCGAACAACACTTCCATTTATGTCATATAAATCTTAGGGTTCGTTAATGGGCCGGGCTGGACCGGACTGGCCTTTAAAGAGGAGAGAGAAAATACTGGGCCGGGTTTTTTTTATAAAATTCAAAGCCTAGGACCAACCCATGGTCTGGGCTTGAGAAAACCATCGGGCCGGGCCAGGTTAAGGCCAACGAGCTGGGCCTAAACGGGCCTACTTCATTAAAAAAAATCACAAACTTAATCATAAGGGCATTTTAGTCCAAGTTTGAGATTAAACTCACTTAATTCCAATATTTTCACATCAAACCAAATTCATAAAACACCCAATAAAATCACACAATTTAATAAGATTTTCCACAAAAATAATAAAACCAACTATTATTTTGAGGTTATTACATAATTAGAACGTAATATGTTTTAAAAAATAATAAGTATCAAAAAATATTTTTTTAAAGGATGGTATGATTAAATATGCAAATATTTGGTGATGTGTTCAAGAAAAGCATGATTACATTTGGTTGTACGATTATGTTTCGCGATATCATTATATTTGGTTATGTGATATGTTGATCATCTTATTTATATATATATATATATATATAATTGTTGAATTAATAATTGACACAAATTAATATGCTAATCATCCAATCATAAACTAGGAATGAGTAAAGAAGGGTAAATGAAATGAAACAAATTATATATGTGATTTAAGTGATATAATCCTAAACCCAAACTCTTACTTATACATAATTATATATGTATGTGGACCTAATGGGCCGGGCTTTTGTGGGCGGGCCGGGCCGGGCTTTCTTGGGATTAATCGGGTTAGGCCTATGG